TCCACTACCATTCGAAAGGGAAAGGGAGATAAGCAAAAGATCATGAGTCAGGATAAGGAAAAATTTATTCATTATATATAATATTTTTTGCATCCGTAGGTTTGGGTAGGGATTAACATATCAAGGAATTCGTTTATCGGGACAATATTTGAGAAAACGCAAGTGTCCGGATAGGCGAGGTTCTATTGTAGATTCCCAACCCTCCAAGCCGTGCACGTACGTGCCAAATCATTAAGATTGTCCACCTGACCCAACTTAGCCATGGCTTATGACAAGCTGGAGGTCCTTGTGGGGGTTCTGCTCTATGGCATCACTGAAGAGAACTACTTTTAAATACATCCGTGTTAGGCTTTCATTATAAGCAGCGACCAGGGCAGTTTTATTCGCACGGGTGGCAGGTCTCCGCTGTACTGGAGTTCGTGATTGTTGCTTTCAATATTGATACTTTCATCAAAATAATTTAATCCAACATTCGAGTGTTCTTTTGATTAACTCGGTGTGTCGTCACTGAGGTTTTCCATCACCTGACCGCTGAGCAAAGTAATTCGTGCTGTGGGTTACCTGGAGGTGGTTTGCCGTCACATTTGGCTGTTGGTAGCCCATTCGTTTCTTTAAGGTACAGGAATAATTTACCAAATATTTAAGCCAATTGTGTAAATCAGTGCTCATGTTGATCACTGGATTGTCTGGTCCAGACTGAATTATCAACAGATCGCCGCCATGTGGCTGGAATATTGCTGAGTGCGACGTTAAACAACAAATAAACAAACATACAAAACCTTTCAGGTCTGTTGTTTCACGTTGCACTCAGCAAGATTCCAGCTATATGGTGGCGGTCTGTAAATAATCGAGTCTGGATCAGACATTCCAGTGATCAACAGCATGAGCATCGATCTACGCAACTGGGATACGATGACGTGTCAACCAAGTCAGCGATCCTGACCATCCAGTTAGTCGCCTCTTACGAGTTACTGAAGACCACTTCTAACTCGGATGTTCACGGTAAAACCTTTCAGAAAAATACGACTCCTATTTGTCATGATCAGCGCACACATATTTTGTAGATGAATTGATGTAGATGAGCCACATGTGCACTGAAGTGAGACTGATAGAGAGACATACTCCCTGGGGCTGTTATACCGTCCATTTGGCTTGTGTCCCACGTGCATACTGAACCAATCCTACATTCCTTGGATTTCAAACATACCATGCAAGGTGTCAGAAATTGCAAACAGGTAGCTGTCAACCTGTATATATTTGCTAGATCTTGACATCGAAAAATCGAAACTGTAACATATCAAGCAGTTGGACAGTGGGGAGCACCATGCCAACTTCCGGTCGAACTTCTACCAGTTCTCCTCTTCAACAAAATAGTTCAACAAATCAACAAAGGAATTATTTTGTTTACTGAACTTAGCAATTTGATTGCACTTTAAACAAAATGCAATTCAACAGAGCAACAATGATGATTCAAATTTTCAAATTACCATAAGGCACAGACATGCGTTTAGTCTTAACATAAACCTTGTAAATGGAAAAAGGTATAATAACATAGAGGACTAAAGAATAGTGATGGTTTTGCCTAAACCATAGCTTGCAACAAGGGAACAACTTTTACAGATGAAGGACCAAGTAATAGGGGCATGAGCAGAGGCATGGCGAGGGCAGTAAGGTGGACTCATTAAGTGGGGTAAGAAGACAGGCTGATGAGAGGCTTGAGAGGGGGAGGAGAGGGGGAGGAGAGGGGGGAGGGGCATTTAGGTGAACAGCAGTGCTTGGGTGTGGCATGTAGAAATGGTGCACACAGGTTGCATCAGTGAAGAGGAGATTACAGAGGACGTGGGTGAGCGAGTTAAGCTCAACACTGCTCAGAACAGATGGGTTGGTTGGGTTGGGGGGTGTGGCATGTAGAAATGGCGTATATTGCATTCTTAAGTGCAGGCTTGTAGAGAAGTGCGGGCTTGTAGAGAAGTGCGGGCTTGTAGAGAAGTGCATGTTGAGAGTGAATTTGGCTTAACACTGCCATGAACAGATGCATGAGGTTGGTGGATGGGGAATGTAGAAATGGTGTATAATGGCTGCATTAATGACCTCTGAGCATGCAGAGAAGGCTTGTAGAGTGAGTGAGTTTAATATTAAAGTTGGGTAGGGTTGGGTAGGGATGGGGTAAGGCTGTAGTCAGGATTTCTTTAATGGGCATTTTAGAAGTTGTTGGGATGTGTGACATGAAGAAATGGTGTGAGGAGGGCACATCCATGAAGTGGTGGCTTGTACAGACTGACTGACTGAGTTTGGTTTTACGCCGCTTTTAGCAATATATTTAGCACTAGGCTACCCCACCGCCCCTCCTGATTTGACTTGAGTGAGTGAGTGAGTTTAGTTTTTACGCCGCTTTTTGCAATATTTCAGCAATATCATGACGGGGGACATCAGAAATGAGCATCACACATTGTACCCACATGGGGAATCGAACCCGGGTCTTGGGCGTGGCGAGCGAACGCTTTAACCACTAGGCTACCCTACCGCCCCTGATTTGACTTGAAAATACACTAACCACTAAAATGGACAGACAGACAGGAAAAGCTAGATTAATGGCTGGACAAGCCCTTAAGGACAGGGCAGTAGTGAAGAGACCAAACTGGCAGACCTACGGACACGTCCACATGGTGAGGTGAGGTGAAATAGGTTTAACGTCGTGCTTCGTCGTGGTATGTTTGTTTATTTGTTGTTTAACGCCGCACTCAGCAATATTCCAGCTAAATGCGGCGGTCTGTTGATAATCCAGTCTGGACCAGACAATCCAGTGACCAACATGAGCACTGATTTACACAATTGGCTGAAAGTTTTGGGAGGCTATTCCTGTACCTGAAAGAAACGAAGGGGCTACCAACAGCCGAATGTGACGGCAAACCAGGTCCAGGTTACCCACAGCACGAATTACTTTGCTCAGCGGTCAGGTGATGGAAAACTTCAGTGACGACACACCGAGTTAATCAAAAAAACAGTGTGAACACTCGAATGTTGGCTTCAGTTATTTTGATGAAAGTATCAATATTGAAAGCAACAATCACGAACTCCAGTACAGCGGAGACCTGCCACCCGTGCGAATAAAACTGCCCTGATAGCTGCTTATAATGAAAGCCTAACACGGATGTATTTAAAAGTAGTTCTCTTCAGTGGTGCCATAGAGCAGAACCCCCACAAGGACCTCCAGCTTGTCATAAGCTATGGCTAAGTTGGGTCAGGTGGACAATCTTAATGATTTGGCACGTGCGTGCACGGCATGGAGGGTTGGGAATCTGCAATAGAACCTCGCCTATCCGGACACTTGCGTTTTCTCATATATTGTCCGGATAAACGAATTCCTTGATATGTTAAGCCCTACCCAAACCTACGGATGCAAAAAATAAATAATATATAATGAATAAGATTGTTCAAGTATAAAACCCAGTTAAAATGAGCTTCGTATCCTTTCAGAACTGACAGGTGATAATGAACTTGGACAAAAATGCTGTGAAATTTACGATAAAATATCACTAGATATGATAATGTAACAGGAAGACCTCGGTGGTAAATCAATGACAAATTCTTGTGTAGGATTGACAGGGACTTGTTTCGTAACTGGTAGCATGAGATATTGAGATCCCCAGTGGGCTCTCAGTCCAGATAAATGAACAATAACAAAACGCCCTGAATGATAAACATACGTCAATTAACACATGTCTCTCATGTAGGCAATACATGTCATGTTACACATTCAAACGGTAAGAGTTCCGTCTCTCCCTCAACCTTGAAATGTGTTCTATTTATTAGGATTAGTTCGAGGGTTTACGGGCGGACATCGTTCCCATCCATGTGGGTCTTGTATCTATATCCGTCCTTTAACCTTCATCATAAGTGAATACCATTGAAGATCCGGGTTAGAATTGATCTTCAATAACCCATACTCGTAAGAGGCGACTAAGGGGATCGGGTGGTCAGACTCAATGACTTGGTTGACACATGTCATCGGTTCCCAATTGCGCAGATCGATGCTCATGCTGTTGATCACTGGATTGTATGGTCAAGACTCGATTGTTTACACACCATCGCCATACAGATGGAATATTGCTGAGTGTGGCGTAAAACTAAACTCACTCATTCACTATGTTACAATATAAGATGTACAACAGTCGCTTCGATAGTTTTGTGAAACGGGGCCCTGGAACCAAAGTCTTGTTGATGTAATAGAGGGAACGGGAAGTACCGTCGTCTGATGCGCCGCTGTGCAGAGTTGCATCCCTTGTGTCCGCCAGAAACCCATGGTTGTGGGTTCGAATCCCTGTTCGCCCTGGTTATGTTTCTAGGTCTGTCAGCACCATGGTCTTGGTTTTTCGCCAAAGAGGAAAATGTGTGAGATCGACATCGCGTCGTATTTTCCTCTCACATTTATGTTACGGGTCCTGATTTGACTGACTGACTGACTGACTGAGTTGTGGTTTTACGCCGCTTTTAGCAATATTCCAGCATTCCTTCGGCGTGACGAGCCAACGCTATAACCATTAGGCTACCCCACCGCCCCGGCTTGTACAGAAGTGGAGTGGGGAAGGGGGATACATCCAGGGTCATTGAGGGGCTAATCACAGTGTATAAAGTTGCCCTCAGGGACATGTAGAGTATGTGTAGGTGCCAGGGGGCATGTAGTGCATACATACACTGTGTGGTATGTCAGGTCATGACCTGTCTGCCTGCAACACTGGATCAAGAAGCTGACCCCGAACACATGGTAGAAGAGGAAGAGATTACACTGAGTGTTTCTGCTCAAAGTTCACATCGGCAAACCACATCAAGCTAAGCTAGGATAAGCCCCCAATACCAGGAAGCTTACTCGCACTAGCTGCCCAGGGTGTACTCTTTCATTGGTGGAATACATTTGTATTAATAAACGAATAATTCTGTCAACTATTTTTTCACACACAATTGTTTCCTGGGAAAAAATGCTATGAATTAAAACATACCAGTTACAATTTTTTGTACTTTTACCATAATCTTTGGAAAAAGTACACAAACAGAATATGACCATAGCACAATCAATTAAACAAAAGGGAAATATAGTGTATATTCCCCAGTCGTCTGTGGGGCAACTTATCTGACTTCACTCAATGGTCACTTACAACTATTCTGTGAAATAAGGGACCTGGAAGAAATACAAAACAAGTTGCAGTTCAGTTAAACAAATAACGACACACTGCCACTTTCACTTCTTGTGAAAACTGATAAAAACAATAACCTCCAACCGTTCTGTCAAGCACAAAGTGGGTCTTGCACATGGTATAGTTGAAGCAGTCTGCAGTCATCTCCAACATCAGAATCTTCCTGAGAATGGGATATTTGGCACAGCTATCACAGATGATGTCCTGTTTGACCTGAAGCCATGAAGTGGCACTCGGTCTGTGGAGTACTAGTGGCACCAAGTCTTGGTGGTATAATGGCTACTCCATGCCAGTATCCACAAAGTGGTGCCCTGTCCGTATGCTATACTGGTGATGACCAGTCAATGATATATGCCATACAGTGGCACTCTTTCTGTTTAGTATTCACCTTCGATGACTAGTCAATGATATAGGCCACATACAGTATTGGAAAGTCAATGATATAAGCCATACAGTGGCGAGCTGTCTGTGAGGTATATAAGTTCGATGGCCGATCAGTTACATAAGCCATAGAGTGGCGGGCTGTCTGTGATGTATACAAGTACGATGGCCCATCAGTGATATATGCCATACAGTTTGCTCTCTTTGGCAAGATGGCTGTCTGACTGTAGGTGGGCAGACAGTGTTCTTGGAGTGGTACACAGCACGTCACACAGCTCACAGGTCACAGTATCGCTCCGATGCCTGCAGACAGAAATACAGAGATAAATGCTTCGTAATACATAATACTGGGTGTCTCAAAATACTAACCAAAACTTAAGGGAGTGAGTTTAGGTTTTACGCTTTTAGCAATATTCCAGCATTCCTTCATGCGGACGAAGCCAACGCTTATAACCATTAGGGCTACCCCACCGCTTCAGGCTTGTACAGAAGTGGAGTGGGGAGGGGATACATCCAGGGTCATTGAGGGGCTAATCACAGTGTATAAAGTTGCCCCCAGGGACATGTAGAGTATGTGTAGGTGCCAGGGCATGTAGTGCATACATACACTGTGTTATGTCAGGTCATGACCTGTCTGCCTGCAACACTGGATCAAGAAGCTGACCCTTCTGAACACATGGTAGAAGAGGGAAGAGATTACACTGAGTGTTTCTGCTCAAAGTTCACATCGGCAAACCACATCAAGCTAAGCTTAGGATAAGCCCCCAATACCAGGAAGCTTACTCGCACTAGCTGCCCAGGGTGTAATTCTTTCATTGGTGGAATACATTTGTATTAATAAACTAATAATTCTGTCAACTATTTTTCACACACAATTGTTTCCCTGGGAAAAAATGCTATGAATTAAAACATACCAGTTACATTTTTTGTACTTTTACCATAAATCTTTGGAAAAAGTACACAAACAGAATATGACCATAGCACAATCAATTAAACAAAAGGGAAATATAGTGTATATTCCCCAGTCGTCTGTGGGGCAACTTATCTGACTTCACTCAATGGTCACTTACAACTATTCTGTGAAATAAGGGACCTGGAAGAAATACAAAACAAGTTGCAGTTCAGTTAAACAAATAACGACACACTGCCACTTTCACTTCTTGTGAAAACTGATAAAAACAATAACCTCCAACCGTTCTGTCAAGCACAAAGTGGGTCTTGCACATGGTATAGTTGAAGCAGTCTGCAGTCATCTCCAACATCAGAATCTTCCTGAGAATGGGATATTTGGCACAGCTATCACAGATGATGTCCTGTTTGACCTGAAGCCATGAAGTGGCACTCGGTCTGTGGAGTACTAGTGGCACCAAGTCTTGGTGGTATAATGGCTACTCCATGCCAGTAGCCACAAAGTGGTGCCCTGTCCGTATGCTATACTGGTGATGACCAGTCAATGATATATGCCATACAGTGGCACTCTTTCTGTTTAGTATTCACCTTCGATGACTAGTCAATGATATAGGCCACATACAGTATTGGAAAGTCAATGATATAAGCCATACAGTGGCGAGCTGTCTGTGAGGTATATATTCGATGGCCGCATCAGTTACATATGCGGTCATAGCGGCAGTTACATACAAGCCATGGCCCAGTGGCGGGCTGTCTGTGATGTATACAAGTACGATGGCCCATCAGTGATATATGCCATACAGTTTGCTCTCTTTGGCAAGATGGCTGTCTGACTGTAGGTGGGCAGACAGTGTTCTTGGAGTGGTACACAGCACGTCACACAGCTCACAGGTCACAGTATCGCTCCGATGCCTGCAGACAGAAATACAGAGATAAATGCTTTGTAATACATAATACTGGGTGTCTCAAAATACTAACCAAAACTTAAGGGAGTGAGTTTAGTTTTACACCGCTTTTAGCAATATTCCAGCAATATCGTGGGCTTCACACTCCCTTTGTAGGGGGACAACTCCGGTCTTCAGAAATGGGCTTCACATTGTAAATCCATGTGGGTGAATCGAAATTCAGGTCTTAGGCGTGACAGGGGCAGTGGGGTAGCCTAGTAATTAAAGCGTTGGCTTGTCACCCCGAAGACTCGGGTTTGAATCCCCACATGGGTACAATGTGTGACGCCCATTTCTGCTGTCAAGAGGCGTAAAACCAAACTGAGTCAGTCAATCAGTCTTCGGTGTGACAAGCAAACGCTTTAACCACTAGGCTACACCCACCCAAATTAAGATGTTGTTACTATCAACTGGCATACTATGAGGTGAGGTGAAATAGGGTTTAACATCGTGCTTGAGAATATTTCGCTCATATGATGATGTGCATGCGTGTGTATGTGTGGCTGCTTGTACTAGCCCAGACTGAAGGTGGTTTTATAGTGCTAGCCCACTGAGATACCATGCCGCAGTGAAGCATGAATACCCCACTCAGACACATTATACTGACTCCAAGCCGACCAGTCCTTGTTGTACCCATTAATGCTGAGCGCCAGGCAGGGACCAACAAGTACCATATTTTAACGTCTTTTGGTATGACGCGGTCGGGGACCGAACCCGCGACCTTCCGCTCTACGGGGGGACGCTCTAACCACTACACCACGGAGGCGGTCAGTCATACTATGAAAGAATCGTGTAGTCGTTAACTATATTTTAAGAGTGAGTGAGTTTGGGTGGGTGAGTGAAGATTGATTTCACACCCAATTTGGCATTATTCCAGCAATAACACGACGCCATAAGTGCGAGCCACACATTGTATCCACACTGACAAGCAAACACGGGTTTTCAGCAGTGACAAGAGAACACTTGAACTACTACTCTACTCCACGCCTATTTCCTCTTATCACAGATCCTATGCAGATCGCCATGTTTCTCTTCCTCGGGGGGCCATGAGTACATGACAGCTTGCCCTGCTCACCTGATGGAGTGAGTGAGTTTTAGTTGTATTCCGCTTTTATCAATATTCCAGCAATATCAAAGGCGAGGGACACTAGAAATGGACTTCACACATTGTATCCCTGTGGGGAATCGAACCTGAGTCTTCGAGGAAATATTTTTAACTATTAGGCTACCTGATGGAAAGTGACTTCAGTTCCTGCAGATGGTGTTTTAAGTAGTCACTGTGACGGACTTCATCCAGCAGGGAGCTCCTCTCCGTCTCGTCAGGTCTCGCCAGTCGAATGGCATAATGAGGGTTGAGCAGAGGTGGATCATCACTGACTGGATTGTGACATTCTGGCGGCTCCATCAGGTATTTCGGGTCAACCTGAAATGAAGAGAGTTCATCATGACTTAATAATAAAGATACACATTTAACCCTACATACTGAGGAAAACAATAAACAAGGGAATGAGAAAGCAGAGTAAGAGAGTGAGTGAGTGAGTATGATTTTACACAGCTTTAGCAATACTCCAGCAATATCAGGGCGGGGGACACCAGAAATTGGGTTTCATGCATTGTACCCATGTGGGGAATCGAACCAGGGTCTTCGGATGACAAGGTAAGGCTTTAACCACTAGGCTACCCCAACCACCCGAGAGAGTTAGTGAGGACTGACAGCACTTTGATGAGCATTTCTGTCATATCGCAATGTGGAAGTCTCGGTGGCTGAGCGGGTTAGGTGGCTGACTTTGTGTGCTGGCGATTATTAGGTGCCTGACTCTGAGGGTGCAGGTTCGAAACCCGGATGGGACTCAACCCAAGTACATACTAGAATCTGTACTTTACTAAGAAAGAGTAATCCCTAATATAACACATGTTACAGCTATCCAGTGATAGTAATGCCTACCTGATTCCAGTGATAGTAATGCCTACCTGATTTCAGTGATAGTAATGTCTACCTGATTCCAGTGATAGCAATGCCTACCTGATTCCAGTGACAGCAATGCCTACCTGATTCCAGTGATAGTAATGTCTACCTGATTCCAGTGATAGTAATGTCTACCTGATTCCTGTGATAGTAATGTCTACCTGATTCCAGTGATAGTAATGCCTACCTGATTCCAGTGATAGTAATGCCTACCTGATTATAGTGATAGTAATGCCTACCTGATTCCAGTGATAGTAATGCCTACCTGATTCCAGTGATAGTAATGCCTACCTGATTATAGTGATAGTAATGCCTACCTGATTCCAGTGATAGTAATGCCTACCTGATTCCAGTGATAGTAATGCCTACCTGATTCCAGTGATAGTAATGCCTACCTGATTCCAGTGATAGTAATGTCTACCTGATTCCAGTGATAGTAATGCCTACCTGATTCCAGTGATAGTAATGCCTACCTGATTCCAGTGATAGTAATGTCTACCTGATTCCAGTGATAGTAATGTCTACCTGATTCCAGTGATAGTAATGCCTACCTGATTCAAGTGATAGTAATGTCTACCTGATTCCAGTGATAGCAATGCCTACCTGATTCCAGTGATAGTAATGCCTACCTGATTCCAGTGATAGTAATGCCTACCTGATTCCAGTGATAGTAATGCCTACCTGATTCCAGTGATAGTAATGCCTACCTGATTCCAGTGATAGTAATGCCTACCTGATTCCAGTGATAGTAATGCCTACCTGATTCCAGTGATAGTAATGCCTACCTGATTCCAGTGATAGTAATGCCTACCTGATTCCAGTGATAGTAATGCCTACCTGATTCCAGTGATAGTAATGCCTACCTGATTCCAGTGATAGTAATGCCTACCTGATTCCAGTGATAGTAATGCCTACCTGATTCCAGTGATAGTAATGCCTACCTGATTCCAGTGATAGTAATGCCTACCTGATTATAGTGATAGTAATGCCTACCTGATTCCAGTGATAGTAATGCCTACCTGATTCCAGTGATAGTAATGCCTACCTGATTCCAGTGATAGTAATGTCTACCTGATTCCAGTGATAGTAATGTCTACCTGATTCCAGTGATAGTAATGCCTACCTGATTCCAGTGATAGTAATGTCTACCTGATTCCAGTGATAGTAATGCCTACCTGATTCCAGTGATAGTAATGCCTACCTGATTCCAGTGATAGTAATGCCTACCTGATTCCAGTGATAGTAATGCCTACCTGATTCCAGTGATAGTAATGCCTACCTGATTCCAGTGATAGTAATGCCTACCTGATTCCAGTGATAGTAATGCCTACCTGATTCCAGTGATAGTAATGCCTACCTGATTCCAGTGATAGTAATGCCTACCTGATTCCAGTGATAGTAATGTCTACCTGATTCCAGTGATAGTAATGTCTACCTGATTCCAGTGATAGTAATGCCTACCTGATTCTAGTGATAGCAATGCCTACCTGATTCCAGTGATAGCAATGCCTACCTGATTCCAGTGATAGCAATGCCTACCTGATTCCTGTGATAGTAATGTCTACCTGATTCCAGTGCTAGTAATGTCTACCTGATTATAGTGACAGTAATGCCTACCTGATTCCAGTGCTAGCAATGTCTACCTGAATCCAGTGCTAGTTATGTCTACCTGATTCCAGTGATAGTAATGTCTACCCCATTATAGTGACAGTAATGCCTACATGATTATAGTGCTAGTAATGTCTACCTGATTCCAGTGACAGTAATGCCTACCTGATTCCAGTGCTAGTTATGTCTACCTGATTCCAGTGATAGTAATGTCTACCCCATTATAGTGACAGTAATGCCTACATGATTATAGTGCTAGTAATGTCTACCTGATTCCAGTGCTAGTAATGCCTACCTGCTTCTAGTGATAGCAATGCCTACCTGATTCCAGTGCTGGCAATGCCTACCTGATTCCAGTGATAGCAATGCCTACCTGATTATAGTGATAGTAATGTCTACCCCATTCCAGTGATAGTAACGCCTACCTGATTATAGTGCTAGCAATGCCTACCTGATTCCAGTGCTAGCAATGCCTACCTGATTCCAGACAAAGTAATGCCTACCTGCTTCTAGTGATAGCCATGCCTACCTGATTCCAAACAAAGTAGTGCCTACCTGATTCCAGTGATAAGCTCTGTCATAATTAGAGGGCTCAATAGACTCCCTCCTTTTCTCCACCAGTCTGAAAGAAGAATTTTAATTATCATCATTATCATGACTAAGTGTTATGATCAAAATGAACATTTTGTCAAGTAGACTTAATCTATGTAATCCATTTCACCCAAGCTTCATACAATCATCGACATAACCACACACGGGGTTGACATACACTTTGAAAAATTGAAGATACTTTCTAAATTTTCATGAAAATAATTACTCAATAAAACAATTACATTCTATCTAGCCAATTGTTTTGCCAATTGCAGTTTACTTTCCAAAAACTTACATTGCTTATTATATTTGTACTGGAGTTATTTGGATTTGGAGTTATTTGAAAAAATATTGCATCACCTATGACCTGTGTTCAAATATTTTGAGAGTATTTCACTAAATGTTTGAATCAAACAGACAGGAATTATGTATTATGTAGCCCACACATGCACAGGCACAGACAGATGGACAGACAGATAGACAAAGAGGACTGAGTGAGTATGGTTTTACGCCGCTTTTAGCAATATTCCAGCAACATCACGGCAGGGGAAACCATAAATGGGCTTCACACATTGTACCCATCAGACAAGAGCAGGCAAACAGACATACAAAGAGGAGGCAAACAGACAGACAGACAGGCAAAGAGGAGAGAGACAGACAGAGACAGACAAAGAGGAGAGAGACAGACAAAGAGGAGAGAGACAGATAGACAAAGAGTCAGACAAAGAGAGAGACAGAGAGACAGACAAAGAGAGAGAGAGAGAGAGACAGACAAGAGAGAGAGACAGAGACAGACAAAGAGAGAGAGAGAGAGACAAATAGAAAAGAGACAGAGAAGCAGACAGACAGACAGGCAAAGAGGAGAGAGACAGACAGACAGAGGCAAAGAGGAGAGACAAAGAGAGAGAGACAGACAGAGAGAGAGAGAGACAGACAGACAAAGAGAGAGAGAGAGACAGACAACAGAGACAGACAAACAGAGGAACCAGAGACAGAGACAGATAGAGACAAAGACAAATGACAAAGAGGAGAGACAGAAGAGACAAAGAGAGGAGAGAGACAGACAAAGAGGAGAGAGACAGACAGGAGAGAGACAGAGAGAGAGAGAGAGAGACAGAGACAGACAAAGAGGAGAGACAGATAGACAAAGAGGTGCCAGACAGACAAAGAAAGAGACAGACAGACAAAGGAGAGAGAGAGAGACAAAGAGGAGACAAAAAGGCAGAGAGACAGACAGACAAAGAGGAGAGAGACAGAAAGAGAGAGGCAGACAAAGACAGACAGACAGACAGACAGACAAACAGGAGAGAGAAAAAAGAGGAGGCAGACAGACAGACAGACAGAGAGGCAAAGAGAGACAGATAGACAAAGAAGAGTCAGACAAAGAGAGAGAGAGAGAGAGAGAGACAAAGAGGAGAGAGACAGACAAAGAATGAGACAGACAGACAGACAGACAGACAGACAGACAGACAGACAAAGAGGAGCCCCACCTGAGAAGTTTGATCCTGGCATTATTCTGCAACTTCTCTGTGGCGACACCACCCCATGTGACAGTGTCCTGCGTCCCCACCGCCACGTTGATTGCAAGACGCACACAGTTGATCTGACAAATCACAATGTATCATAGAACACAACATGAAAGAACCACAGTCTAAAACTTACTCTCCAACAAGCTGCAAACCAGCCCCAAAATAATCAGTCCTCAATTGTTACTGGATCCATCTAATTTCACATGAAAAGAGTTTACTTTTTTAAGGACAGAGTTACCCGTGAAGAAAAAAAAACATCCCCAAATATTCATTACTTTTTCATGCGCTTACAATCCTGACACAACTGACCAGGTCAATGTCCTCATCATTGATGTGAGCGTCAAAGGTGACCTCCATGTCATGATCAGGCAGGATGGGATAGTTAGACTGGTCTTCGTATCCAAGACCACAGATGGCACCAGTGTAATGGGTCCGTTTGGGATTTGTTCTGTTGAAAAACACACAACAAAGTCTAATAAGGCCAGCTGAACCAAGAAAGAGTGAGTGAGTGACTTTGGTTTAACGCCACTTTTAGCAATAATCCCGCAATATCACCAGAAATGGGCTTCACACATTGTACCCATGGGAATCGAACCGGGTCTTCGTTGTGATGATCTTTAACCACTAGGCTACCCACCAACCCGAACCAAGAAAGAAGGAAAACTGTATAATGTAGTGGAAGGAGTTCACAAATTATCAATGAATGACAACTGTTGGTCCAAAAGGAACGTTTACACCAATACTGAGGGTATTGTTTGTAGTATGCATAAAAGTGTCGCTTCAAATTGGATAACTTTCAATTGGATAATTTTTTCGATTCTTTTCAATGACATTTCCCAGCTACATTTTGCCACCGCCATTCACCTAATGGATAAGAAATGCAATTGTCGTTAAAAAAGAATTAAGAAGTTGTTATCCATGGAAAAGTGTCACGCATTCATTTTCTTCTGAATGCTCATCAACGACTTTGTTGAAAGTAGATCACTGTGACCTGTCATCATTCATCATACATATGATGTGAGTGAGAGTCACATCGGCAATATTTCAGCCATCTCGTGACTAAATCAAATTATAACTGAAAGTAAATTTTCAAAAACTGTCAATGAAGGACAGTATACATATGATGTAACAACTCCAAATATAGTACTCAAACAATATCAGCAGTGGATAAAATATGGCTACTATCTCTACCAATGACCTTCACTGTGACCTTGACCTTTAATTTAGATGACCTTGATCCTTCCTGACCCAACCCTAATGAAGGCATGTACCAAGTTTTATTGACCTCCAGGAAGTAAACAAACTTTTCATCTGGCTAGGGTCTTGCAGATGACATGACATGTCTAAGATGTCCAAACACGGAATAGGTTCAAAAACAAAGTGTGGTGAAATATGCATTCAAATTCAGGCAAATCCTCAAAGCATCACAATCTTATTAAGCTGCTTAACTACAGGATCATAGGGAGTTGCGGCATCACCTGAGTTCTGCCACTGGAGCAAACAGTAGACACATGAGGGCTGGTAGGCCGGGTATCAGCGGCATGATCGTCGTGTCCCTTGCCATCATCACGGACGCTTGGGGATTCAGACCAACAAACGCTGCAACCATCATACGGGCATGGCTGTTCTGTGGCTCGTCGTCTATGGCTACAGAGTTGATACTGTCCTGATCTATCCTTGAGCCTCTGGCAGAAAAACAGAAATGATGGCATTCCAACCAGTGTATTTCAATGTGCTGAGGATTCAGCATTGGAAATATTTCACCTTTGTGTCTTTAATCAAGCAAAATGGTACTGTATGTATGCGAGATAGACATCAATAGTTATAGGTAGATGCCTGTGTATGTGAGAGAGGAGAGTAACAGGTACGTACCTGTGTCTGTGAGAGGGGAGAGTTACAGGTACGTACCTGTGTATGTGAGAGGGGAGAGTTACAGGTACATACCTGTGTATGTGAGAGGGGAGAGTTACAGGTACATACCTGTGTCTGTGAGAGGGGAGAGTTACAGGTACATACCAGTGTATGTGAGAGAGGAGAGTTACAGGTACATACCTGTGTCTGTGAGAGAGGAGAGTTACAGGTATATATACCTGTGTCTGTCAGAGAGGAGAGTTACAGGTACATACCTGTGTCTGTGAGAGAGTAGAGTTACAGGTACATACCTGTGTATGTCAGAGAGGAGAGTTACAGGTACATACCTGTGTCTGTCAGAGAGGAGAGTTACAGGTACATACCTGTGTATGTGAGAGAGGAGAGTTACAGGTACATGTCTACGTTTGTGTGAGAGTGAGTGAGTTTAGTTTTACGGTGCTTTTAGCAATATTCCAGCAATATCACAGCGTGGGACACCAGAAATGGGCTTCACACATTGTACCCATGTGGGGAATTGAACTCGGGTCTTTGGCGTGACAATAAACGCTTTAACCACCAGGCTACCCCACCACCCCTTGTGTGAGAGGTGTTACAGGTAAAACACATCAGAGAATGTTCAAAGTTACATACCTCAGTCTGCCTACAAACGTCATGTTATGGAAGCTCATCTCCAAAGGACTGTGAGGACCTATCAGCTTTACCTGAAATGTGCACAAAACATTAAAACCACAATTTTCCCTTTAAACAATGTTATATACTGGACAAAATAAGTTAGGGAGATTGGTATTTTTATTATTTATATTTTATCAGTGTGTCAATGAATAAATAGATCAATATTCATAATTTCAAAATTTACATACATCCTTAACTATTTTTGTCAAGTATATGATATTGTGTTAATGATTGTTCAAAAGCTGCTTACCTTACGCTGGGAACCCTTGAGGGCAGCTCTTGTTTCTCGTGGCATTTCTACATTCATCCATTCTTCCTTCTGTCCCGACAATGCACTATCTGGAGATACTGTCATACTCATTGCTTCTGCACAGCGGTCGTCATGGTTTTGCTTGAAAAATAATACAAATATTCATGACAACGAAGTACGACTAATTGAGGCACATCATATGTGCAATCCATCTGGTTTATACATCAGTCAGGCCTCGTTAATCCAACAGTGCCGCTTTCATCAAAAATGTTCGGATAGTGAAACGTTCAGTTTGCTGAAACAAGTCCAGTGCACCACACTGCAGTAGAGTTACTTCCCTTTCCCTTGCCTGATAGAGACAACAGATCAGAACATGTATCAACTGACTATATCACACATAAGAAAACAACAACTGTGACAGGTTTTCATCAAACTAACACAAAGTGTGATCTGTTAATTATTAAAATCATGACTTGTTCCACTCACAATGTATTAATTGCCATTGACGTTTACTGATAATGAGCCCCGCTGTTGTTAGGCAATATGGTCATCGTATGAACAGCTGGATTAATGAGTGAGTGAGGTTTGTTTTACACCCCACACAGCAATATTCCAGCTATATGGCGGCGGTCTGTAAATAATCGAGTCTGGACCAGACAATCCAGTGATCAACAGCATGAGCATCAACCAAGTCAGCAAGCCTGACCACCTGATCCTGTTAATCACCTCTTACGACAAGCATGGGCTACTGAAGATCGATATTCTAACCCGGATCTTTACGGGTCAGCCGGATTTATGAAGCAAAAACAAGTACAACAAGTGTTTGCCACTGATATGGCAATGTTCCCCGCCGTAAAGAATGGTATATTTTTTGGTCACATACAAGATGCCTAAAATGACTGGTGTCTGCACAATCACCCATGTAGGCTGTTGACATAAATGAAGACATTGGGTGCAATGTTTTATGAGATACCACAGTTTGAAAAGTGTTCAAAGTGTCGTTGTGACCTTGAAAATATAGACAAGGTCACCCAAATCGACTGGTGTCTGCGTAATCCCCCAATGTTGGCTGTCACCAAATTTGAAGACATTGGATACAACAGTGCATGAGATATCACGTTAACAACAGTTTGAACAGTGTTCAAACTGTTGTGGTGACCTTGAAGATGAGGTCAAGGTCACCCAAATCGACTGGTGCCTGGCCATTCCCCCAATGTAGGCTGTCACCAAATTTGAAGACATTGGGTACAACAGTTCATGAGATATCGCGTTACCAAGAATCGGTACGTAAGTACGTATGGTGGGGGATAATTAGCTAATCTGTTACCCATAATTGATGTTCGAAGTCAGAGACTGAAGCATCAGATTAATGAATCAACAGTTGATGTGTTTATTTAGTAAACAAGATTGGTTACGGCTTGAGTCTGTTCGGATGGCGCAGGACTTGGATTATCGGGGACCGGACTAACGCGGCCTGACTGTACTTATAAAGCTGGATTGCAAAGTCTTAAAAAGATTGGATCGAAGATTGCTTGAACATCTCACCTTGGACAGAAATGATTCCTCAGCAACATCTGCAAAGCCTTTTCTGACCACATCTTCATTGACCACAACTTGCTGATTGTTTGACGTCTTCTCAATTAACTGTAGCCTCAAGGCATTCCTCTCCACGGAAAACACCTGCAGAAGTAACACTTAACATCAAGATCAGGACATCCACATGTCATCACAGTTAACACCTGGACAATACTTCACTACCTCTTCTCCATCAAGTGCACTGCAGTAATTTCATTCAGTATCCAGACTGGTTACTAACAAAAAAGAGAAACTGTCTCAATATCGATCTGGTCATTTGGTATCTCTTGACGTATATGTACTCACTAATGGGTAAAACTGGGATCTAAAATCAATGGTTAATGAGTAATTGTTTGTTTGTTCTTGACGATGGCTTCTAAACACTCAAGTCTGGACCAAACAATCCAGTGATTGATATTGAGAGCTAAAATGCACAAAGTTTAGGTATGATGACTGGCAATAAACATAAAGCCTGAACATTTCCATGAGTCACCTCTTAATTAACACCATAACAGGTTTGATTGTTTCTGTTTGTTTGGTAGTTGTTTAACACTCAGCAATATTCCAGCTATATGGCGTTGGTCTGTAAATAATCAAGACCAGACAATCCAGTCGTCAACATCATAGACATAGATCTATGCAACTGGGATACAATGACATGTGTCAACCAAGTCAGTGAGCCTGTCCACCCGATTCCATTAGGTAGCTTGGGTTCATGTGACAAGGTAATCATAGTGTTTAGACAATTGTAACTCCACTTCTTTAACATAAGCTTACAACTGGGGTGGAGTTAAAATCATTTTGTGAGCCAGGGTCTTGGGGGCAGTTCTCGTCTGGACCCCCATTGACTAAATCTGATAAAACTACAATGAGAATTGCGTTACCTGGGCATACAGAATCTTGTTGACGTACTCTCTAGTGAACCATGTTGTCGACTCCTTGCTCCACACACCATCAGGACACCTCAGACTTGACGGCCGGATGTGAGCCAGGTAGCATTCAAATGCCTGAACACAACAAACACGAAATCATACAAGTAGGCACAACGCTGTCAGAAGAAAATGCTTACTGAAAACAACATATAACACCAAAGCACCAGTGTCAACAACTGGTGGCCAAGATGGCTTATATATTGCAATTCTGTGTGCAGAATTGCTTCCCTTGGGCACACCAGAATCCAATGTATCCCAGTTCTCTCGGTTTATGTTTCAGGTAGACAGCATCATACCCATGGATACGAATTTTCAAGGGTTTGAGGTCGGAAATTAGACATTTTCCCGCATTTTTTAGTTGAAAGTTGAGGCTTCCATAGGTCTTATTCTCCTGAATACACCCAAACCTGCTAGTGCACGTGATAGTGCAAATCTCCCTGAACATCATGCACAAATTTCCCTTATAGGCAACGTTTGGAACACAAATCAATCACATGTTGAAAACCATGCCTCAACGTTGCCTCTAAGCATTGCGCTGACAGGGGGAGAGCTATAGGGTGGATCCGGGAGGGCATTGCCATACGTGAGACGGCGAGAAGACTTTGTTTCTGCAATGAATTTACCTTAACCACCAATAAAATTTGTTTTCATCGTATCATATGTATTGTTTTATAATAAAAAAAACAGGTGTTCCTTGGATCTTTTGAGTAGTATATATTTGATCAGTAATATGAGAAACGACAAGAAAGACTGCAAGTTGCCGAGTTCATCTGCTGAAATAGAACCTCTCAATATATTTTACCTACCCTCAGTAACCTCCAAGCTAAGATTTGACATTTTTGTGTGCATGCATTTAAGATCAAATTAATTGAGTATTTACAAAAATTCAACTGCATTTGTATGCAACAGACTGGATAGGAATTGAGTTTTCACATAAATATTTGCGTAATTTACGCAGATAGGCAGTTTATCTGTACCTCTGCATTAAGCTGACGTGCTGTGTTATATCTGATATATCAGTGTTATTCCACCATAATCACTCACTACTAAGTTCAATTTGTCATCTTCGTAATTTTCATTTCATCAAACTGTAGAACTGACTGACTGAGTTTAGTTTTACGCCGCTTTTAGCAATATTCCAGCAATATCACGGCGGGGGACACCAGAAATGGGCTTAACACATTGTGCCCATGTGGGGAATCGAACCCGGGTCTTCGGCGTGACGAGCCAACGCTTTAACCACTAGGCTACCCCACAGCCCCTCAAACTGTAGAAACAGTTGAGCAAATGATTTTCGCCACATTCATTTTATTGATATATTTCCAGCATTTTCTATCAATCTGTGAACCGACAAAAATTACACATAAGGATAAATGTATGCAGCTTTTAGAGTGAGCGAGTGAGTTGGGTTTTATGCTGCTTTTAGCAATATTCCAGCAATATCACGGCGTTGGACACCAGAAATGGGCTTCACACATTGTACCCATGTGGGGAATCGAACTCGGGGCCTTCAGCGTGACGAGCGAACGCTTTAACCACCAGGCTACCCCACCTCCCCCTGCAGTGTTTAGAACTCACCTGGAAGGGGATTTCCAGCAGCTCGGAAGGCAATGCTCTTATGTGATCTCGAGACACCGTCTCTGTGTTGCCATAGTCAACAAAGAACACCTGTCAACAGAGAACATGATCAACATGGATTTCACGTAAAAAACACAAACACATACAAACTACAATCAGTAAGTAGGAAACAATTCAGATTTAACATCTACCATGCTTTCATTGTAAGCATGACAACCACAAAGTTTTCTGTTGACGTCTCAGAACCATATCCTGTTTGGTTTGTTTGTTTGTTGTTTACTGCTGCACTTGGCAAAATTCCAACCATATGGTGGCAGTCTGTAAACCATCTGGACCAGACAATTAAGAGATCAACAGCATGAGCATCCATCTACACAATTGGGATACGATGACATGTGTCAACCAAGTCAGCGAGCCTGACCACCCGATTCCATTAGTCGCCTCTTACAACAAGCATGGGTTGCTTGAGAACAGTTCTAACCTGGTTCTTAGCCCGTCTCCACTTGAAGACAGCTCATAACAGGTTAACAAGCATTCCTTCTGGAGTGAGTGAGTGAATTGGGTTTACGCCGCTTTTAGCAATATTCCAGCAATACCACGGCAGGGGACACCAGAAATGGGCTTCACACATTGCGTCTGATTAGAGATGGAGTGAGTGCATGAATTTAGTTTTATGCCGCTTTAAGCAAAATTCCAGCAACATCACGGCATGTTTAGGATATTTTCTCAATGAAACTAAACGACTCCTCAAAAATAAAAGAGTTAAGAAATATGTACATTATATTGAATGGACGGTGCAAGATGTGACGATTCGTCACATCTTTCTGGCCTGTGGCAGAGGTACTATGCTGGCTTGCCGCATGGAACTCTGGGTAGGAGAGTGCCATGATGGCTACCATGAAAAACGGCTACCATGAAAAACACAAGGCCATGCTAATACCAGTACATGAGCCGCAGCATATAGGACTAATCAAGGCCTCCTGCACAGTCTATAACTACTGCACTATCCTGGAGTCACAGGACATTCGTCAGCTGATACTGAGGAAAAACTCTGTACCTGCACCATGTTTCCCCGGACCTCCACGATCCTGCCCCGGTAGAAGGCGACGGACTCATCCTGGTAGATGGCAGCACAGTAACTCCCTGGCGCCAGAAACCCGGTCACCTGCCAGGAAACATACAAATATGAAAATCAACTGAACAATGATAACTGAAGTGATGATGAAAGTAGAACTTCAAGCATTTGAGTAAACTAGTTTCAGAACTTATTATCTGAATTTATTATATATACTGAGGGAAATAAATAAGGTATCACATGAAAGCACAAGTGTTCCTTTATTTTGTTTTCCAGGTTTCTTCACAAGTTGTGCGATACAGAGAAACCAGGGAAAACAATAAAGGAACATTTGTGCTCTCATGTGATCCCTTATTTTTTTCCCTCAGTATATGATGAAACAATTTTACTTCAACTTACAGAACATAATAACAACACAAGACAATACAACAACATATTAACAGCTATATTGTTACTTGTACAGTAAACTTCAGTTGTGACAATCTCAAAAGGACCACCAATTTGTGTTCATTATAAAGGAAAAAATGCAATTTTTTAAGTAAAATTGATATTTGTATACTTATCCTGACTCATGATCTTTTGCTTATAGAGGAATCACTTCATCTATACGGATGCTGAGGTCTTATACCGGGTAGCAGATGGCCTGCGGATATTGTTCACTCACTCACTCCAACCCAACAGAGACGTACTGCATATACGCTTATGACTTCGACTCCAATATGATATCACCTATGAAGCCGATATCTCAAGTACTGGAGAACCTCAAGGCGACCTTTGTAAAGGGCTTAAGGTTAACAACGCCTTCAAGAATCCTTGAACGGACGTACAGATGAAATTAATAACACTCGTGACTCAGCGTGGGGATTAGGATTTTATATCCTATCAACTAGATTCAACATCGATATTTCTTCAAGATCCATACAGACCTACGTCTCGACAGCCTCCTTCGTCATGCTGGGAATAAGTGATCTATATCACTGAACAAGAATTTACACTGGGAGCAACCCTTAGTCAAGAGGTTTATATGAGCGGAGTAGAATTACGCGCACTTTTACTCAACCAACTAATTGCATCAGATTTTATGGAGGCCAACTTGCTACAACACCGGTGACGTCATGCTTGAAGCTGATTGGTCCACGTCAGACAACGCCTCCCACTGACAGAGCAAGCTCCAGCATGTTTTCTGATTGTAAACAAACCCGAGGTACAGGGGAATACTTCATCGGCAGCCTTGGAAACAGTATACAACTACAGCCTGTTATCATCATGGGAATCTGTCAGTTCATTATAAACATGTTTGTATAAACATTGTTTACTCGTTGGTTTGTTGTTTAATGCCTCACTCGGCTACATTAAGCTACATGGCGGTGGTCTGTAAATAATAATCAAGTCTGGACCAGACAATCCAGTGATTATGAGCATAGATGAACGCATCTGGGATACCCTGATGTGTGTCAACCAAGTCAGCGAACCCGACAACCCGATCTCGTTAGTCGCTTCTTATGACAAGCATGGGTTACAGAAGACCAATTGTACCCCGGATCTTCACGGGACACATTGTTTACTGTATATGTATAGTTGGCACGTATACTGTACTTGTATCAAGGCAGTGGAGCTGTTAAGCTGGTCCTGCACGTGTTTCAGCTGATTCATGGCCAAGTCCGTGTAGTACTGTGCCCAGAAGTGTCCGAACTCCACCACCTGCACAATAACACCCATAACATGAGCTTCAACCTACCCAGTTGAGATACGATGGCATGCATCAACTCAGTCTGCCAATCCAATCCTTTAGATCGCATCTTACACCCGGCATGGGTTGCTTGAGACCAATTCTAACCTGGACTGGAGTATATCTGTTACCAAGTTTGGCAATATTTCAACATACATGTACAAAAATCTGCTCATGAATGCATCAAGCGACTTCAGAGATGAAGAGAAATATATAGAAAGATGGGCACCATACTACGTGAGCAAAAAGCAAACAGTGTTAGCACTCTCTTTGAGTAGTGACTGAAAGAACAGTGTAGGTGTCAACACAGGTTCTAATTCGCCTCCGGGGCGTTGGGGTAGCTTAGTGGTTAAAGCGTTCGCTTGTTACGCAGATGACTTGGGTTCGACTCACTCACTCACGTTGGCCTCTTTGTGCCATTACATGCTTCCTGCAATTTTTTGTCAGTTCATCTGATGCTCGAGTGATATTTCGATGGCATGTTTAACCATCTGATTCAGCCATCATCAGTTCATCTGATGCTCGAGTGATATTTCGATGGCATATTTAACCATCAGATTCAGCCATCGTCAGTTCATCTGATGCTCGAGTGATATTTCGATGGCATATTTAACCATCAGATTAAGCAATCGTCTGTTCATCTGATGCTCAAGTGATATTTCGATGGCATATTTAACCATCAGATTAAGCCATCGACAGTTCATCTGATGCTCAAGTGATATTTCGATGGCATATTTAACCATCAGATTCAGCCATCTTCTGTTCATCTGATGCTCGAGTGATATTTCGATGGCATATTTAACCATCAGATTCAGCCATCGGCAGTTCATCTGATGCTCAAGTGATATTTCGATGGCATATTTAACCATCAGATTCAGCCATCTTAACCATCAGTTCATCTGATGCTCAAGTGATATTTCGATGGCATATTTAACCATCAGATTCAGCCATCGTCAGTTCATCTGATGCTCAAGTGATATTTCGATGGCATATTTAACCATCAGATTCAGCCATCGGCAGTTCATCTGATGCTCAAGTGATATTTCGATGGCATATTTAACCATCAGATTCAGCCATCTTCTGTTCATCTGATGCTCAAGTGATATTTCGATGGCATATTTAACCATCAGATTCAGCCATCGGCAGTTCATCTGATGCTAAAGTGATATTTCGATGGCATATTTAACCATCAGATTCAGCCATCGGCAGTTCATCTGATGCTCAAGTGATATTTCGATGGCATATTTAACCATCAGATTCAGCCATCGGCAGTTCATCTGATGCTCAAGTGATATTTCGATGGCATATTTATTTCAGATTCAGCCATATGCTCGAGTTATGGCATATTTAACCATCAGATTCAGCCATCGTCTGTTCATCTGATGCTCAAGTGATATTTCGATGGCATGTTGAATGATCTGATTCAGCCATCATCAGTTCATCTGATGCTTGAGTGATATTTCGATGGCATATTTAACCATCAGATTCAGCCATCGGCAGTTCATCGGATGCTCGAGTGATATTGAGATGGCATATTTAACCATCAGATTCAGCCATCATCAGTTCATCTGATGCGATGGCATATTTAACCATCAGATTCGATATTCAGTTCATCTGATGCTCGAGTGATATTTCGATGGCATGTTGAATGATCTCATTCAGCCAGGACAGGTGATAGGAACTATCAATATGTCAATGATAACCAGCATTGGTCAAGATCAGTTCAAGCATCCTAGATAGGCGACCTTCAAACTTACCCATTCATACACTGGTACAAATAAACAAACACAGATAAACACAAGCATCCTAAAGACACATAAATGTTCAATACTATAAAAGTGTAATAATCTAGAACACAATGTTGAACCCCATCCCACTCAGGAGTACAGGTATATGTACCTACCGCAGTGACCATGACCAGGACTCCTGACACCGAGGGCCTGGGAGGCTCCACAACTTGACCAAGGCTTTGCTGAGTGGACCCCTTTAGCCTGTAACAGGACTGGCAGGTTATACATAATACATGTAAAAATATTGAGAAATCATTTATACTGGGATAAGGCTGGGTTCCCTGAGTCTGTCAAAATTTCCGAAAGCTAACAACATGCTCACTACGAAGTGAAATATGTGTAACTTCTAGTCAAGGGTTGTGATTATAGAACAGTTCACGGCATGGATTAGGGGCCGAAGTTTGACCAATATTCTGTACAGTGCCATCTGTTCAATAATTTTCTAAAACGCTGACCGCTCCTTTCCACTTTCTAGTTGGGCCTTTCATCTTTTTGGCAACAATTAGAAAAAATAATTTTCATTTCATTTCTGACTATTGCTTTTTTACACCCAGTCAATCAAATGATTAAATCAGAATATCAAATGATTAAATCAGTCAATCAAATGAATAAATCAGAATAATCTAAAGTGTCATATATATTTTCGACTGCTCGACAATTATACGAGAGTAGCAAGCAAACATTTACTGACCTGTTGGTACGAAGCTGCCCCTGGGAAGCCACCATGTCCTGAGCTCGGTGCAGGTTGCTGGCAATGATGTTCGCATCTTCCCTCGTGTACATTTCCACCTCGATGGGTATCCGCAACAACCTGTACACAACATACACCATCAACGTCAACTTTACACACTGTACACTCACCAGTAATAGCTCGATACAATGTACATCACTATATCTACAACTTGGCAAGTTAACAAACCAGTGACTGTTACCTGAGTTTGATGGCCATGTATATGCCCTTGTGTACCCGAGATTCACACAGCGTGTTGCCCTTCCATGGGAACTGGATGAAAGCCCTGGAAATACGGGAGACAAAGTTACAACACATGCATTTACTGTTTTATTTTGACATATGTGTAGGTGGTTGTGTCATCTGAGTGGAGTCATTTTTGGTCGAGGGTCCTCAAAAGCTAGTGTTTCTGAAAAGAATGCTTAGGCACTCTGTACTATGATGGGAGACCGGATCAGAGGCTTTTCTCAAGACTTTAACTTTAAGCTGTGAACAAATGAGCCCCATTATGATTCTAGACCATCTTGTACAGTTTCATCCAATTGTTTCCAAAAAGTTCATGTGCATTGGTGATAAACATATGACAACTAATATACATAAGATAACCCACCTGGACCTGCTGGGATAGAAATGCAATTTTTTCAAAGTGTCCAATTTACCGTATTTTCCATTAAATGATTCGTGGAGAGTATTACTGTTATAATTTTAGTCGTGCTGCTAGCGTACGTGGGGTACACGAAAATATTTCATCTGTGCCCTTTAAACTATTTACCGTGACATGGCATGCAAATGTAAGCACTAATTTCACTGTGAATGTTTCAGCTCACTTTGTTTCCTCGAAGTTGATGATGGGAGGCGGATCCCGACTGCAATCGCTGAAGATACGCTGCAGTTTGTCCTTGTACAGCATGCCCTGATTGGCCGGCAGTCCCTTCAACTGAACACATGAGGTCATAGGTCATAGTGGTATGCTGGCGTGTACGTGGAGAGTGGGTATGGTCTTACGTCACTTTTAGCAATATTCTAGCACTATCACAGTGGGGGACATCACAAATGGGCTTAACGCATTGTCATGCAGGGATGGAACACAGGACTTCAGCGTGGAGAGCTGACACTTTAGCCGCTAGGCTACCCACCACCCCTGTACATAGAGAGTGATTACTACATGTGCATAAACATGATTAAAAGAGCTATCTTAATGAGACAGTTATAAGCATCTCAGGTTTAATTACCTTGACCTTTAGTCTCAGCCATTAGCTCTTAGGAGATTACGCTTTAAGAGTGAGTGAGTTTAGTTTTACGCCGCTTTTAGCAATATTCCAGCAACATCACGGCGGGGGACACCAGAAATGGGCTTCACACATTGTACCCATGTGGAGATTCGAACCCGGGTCTTCGGCGTGACCAGCCAACGCTTTAACCATTAGGCTACCCCACCGCCCCTTACATTTTAAGAAGTTCATCAAATTCCAACAGAAGATGCTCAGGTTAATATGTACACAAGACAGTTGGAATGTCTAATCAAAGCCCATGTTTGATTCCCTACATGCGTACAATGTGTAAAGTCCGTTTCTGGTGTCCCCCGCTGTGATATTGTTGAAAGCGGCGTAAAACTAAACCCAATCACTCACTTAAGAAAATTAGAAGAATCCATCAGGAGTTGATAATCAGTCACTACGCAGATTAGACTTACAGATACAAAGTGTTACTAACGCCCACATTCAAATGACAGTTTAATGGCAAAAATAGTCACGTCCTACATGTGATGTCATCCCATAATGTATGAACATCAAACATCACTATCTTCACAATATCCCAAAAACATTCACAACCCAAAACATTGTTCTGTATATTTATAATTTCTAACTGCAGGTGTAAAATACTAATAACAGCCCAATTATGAGTGAATGAGTTGGGTTTTACGCTGCATCAGAAATGGGCTTCACAGCTTTTGAGGGAAATCAACTTTGGATCTTCTCGGGCAATATTCCAGCTTTGTCTGGTGGCTATTATTGGCAAGCTGCTATGTCATCATAGTAGTGGAATATTGTTTACATTAAACAACAGATTAATACTAACTGCGACAGTGTTCATGGGATCGTGGTTGGATAGTGTCCTGATAGCATCCCCTTCATCGACTTCTCCCCGCAGGAAGTAGTTTGGGTAGAAGGCCCCGCACAGAACAAGCTGAAACACATATACACTTCAAGTAACCATGCCTCTTTGGGGATGACAGTCTTACAACGACATTCTATGCATCTGATTACAGCATTGCTTTGCAAAGTATTACCTTGAGAAGCAGCCTCTCTTTGGATGAGTTGTAGTCCCCTTTGAATTGTGGTTGTCTGACGGGCTTCTGGATGTTGAACCTTTCCAGCCGCTGCTCTAGTTCCCGGATCAACTCAGACACCTGCAAACAACACACTGATTACTGGCGAGCTCCAGATGTCAAGTCTCACACACTCACTGGCTTCAGGTTGTCAGCATGACACACTGACCATCACCAGCTGTCCCATCTCACACACTCACTGGCTTCAGGTGGTCAATGACACACTGACCCCTACCATGTGTCCAGCATGACACACTGACCCCCACCAGGTGTCCAGCATAACACACTGACCATCACCAGGTGTCCAGCATGACACACTGACCATCACCAGGTGTCCAGCATGACACACTGACCATCACCAGGTGTCCAGCATGACACACTGACCATCACCAGGCGTCCAGCATGACACACTGACCATCACCAGGCGTCCAGCATGACACACTGACCATCACCAGGTGTCCAGCATGACACACTGACCATCACCAGGTGTCCATGCATGACCATCACCAGACCATCACTGACCATGGTGTCCAGCATGACACACTGACCATCACCAGGCGTCCAGCATGACACACTGACCATCACCAGGTGTCCAGCATGACACACTGACCATCACCAGGTGTCCAGCGCGACACACACTGACCACCATCACCCAGCATGACACACGCTGACACTGACCATCACCAGGTGTCCAGCATGACACACTGACCATCACCAGGTGTCCAGCATGACACACTGACCATCACCAGGTGTCCAGCATGACACACTGACCATCACCAGGTGTCCAGCATGACACACTGACCATCACCAGGTGTCCAGCATGACACACTGATCATCACCAGGTGTCCAGCATGACACACTGACCATCACCAGGTGTCCAGCATGACACACTGACCATCACCAGGTGTCCAGCATGACACACTGACCATCACCAGGTGTCCAGCATGACACACTGACCATCACCAGGTGTCCAGCATGACACACTGACCATCACCAGGTGTCCAGCATGACACACTGACCATCACCAGGTGTCCAGCATGACACACTGACCATCACCAGGTGTCCAGCATGACACACTGACCATCACCAGGTGTCAGCATGACACACTGATCATCACCAGGTGTCCAGCATGACACACTGATCATCACCAGGTGTCCAGCATGACACTGATCTGACCACCAGGCATCCAGCATGACACACTGACCATCACCAGGTGTCCAGCATGACACACTGACCATCACCAGGTGTCCAGCATGACACACTGACCATCACCAGGTGTCCAGCATGACACACTGACCATCACCAGGTGTCCAGCATGACACACTGACATCACCAGGTGTCCAGCATGACACACTGACCATCACCAGGTGTCCAGCATGACACACTGGATCACCACCAGGCATCCAGCATGACACACTGACCATCACCAGGTGTCCAGCATGACACACTGACCACCAGGCATCCAGCATGACACACTGACCATCACCAGGTGTCCAGCATGACACACTGACCATCACCAGGTGTCCAGCATGACACACTGACCATCACCAGCTGTCCAGTCTCACACACTGACCACCAGGTGTCCAGCATGACACACTGACCCCCGCCATGTGTCCAGCATGACACACTGACCATCACCAGGTGTCCAGCATGACACACTGACCATCACCAGGTGTCCAGCATGACACACTGACCATCACCAGGTGTCCAGCATGACACTGACCATCACCAGGTGTCCAGCATGACACACTGACCATCACCAGGTGTCCAGCATGACACACTGACCATCACCAGGTGTCCAGCATGACACACTGACCATCACCAGGTGTCCAGCATGACACACTGACCATCACCAGGTGTCCAGCATGACACACTGACCATCACCAGGTGTCAGCATGACACACTGACCATCACCAGGTGTCCAGCATGACACACTGACCATCACCAGGTGTCCAGCATCACACACTGACCATCACCAGGTGTCCAGCATGACACTGACCATCACCAGGTGTCCAGCATGACACACTGACCATCACCAGGTGTCCAGCATGACACACTGACCATCACCAGCTGTCCAGTCTCACACACTGACCATCACCAGGCGTCCATTCTCACACACTGACCATCACCAGGCGTCCAGTCTCACACACTGACCATCACCAGGCGTCCAGTCTCACACACTGACCATCACCAGGTGTCCAGCATGACACACTGACAACCAGACAAGACCTATGATTACAGTACCAGCACACACAGTACATCCGACACATACCTCATTGATCCTTCTGATCTGAATGAAGTGAGATTCCCCCCATTTCCTCTCCGTCATTCCTGTCCGCCTGAAGGCATGATGCTTCTTGTTGTTCTCCCATACCTGAACCACACAAACACTTCAGTAGCAGCATTGTTGCTCAAGGGGGGATATAGAGGAGGGTTGCAGCTTTCTAATGACTGATATGTCAATTTTGACAGAATAAATTATACGTAGAGAAACAAATAAAGGAACACAGGAAAAATAAAGCGCTCCTTTATTATTTTCCAGTTTTCATCACCACAGCGCCATTCAAAGCTGGTGATGAAAACTAGAAAATATTAAAGGAACGGCTTTATTTTCCTCTGTGTTCCTTTATTTGTTTCTCTACGTATAGTTAGCATTTTGTTTGGTTGTGTTATCATTACATTTGCCACAAAAACTTCAGCATATTACCTTTATCGCTTGCATATATAGTAGGACAATTATAGAAAGTTTACCTTGTAAGCGTTCAGGATCGCAATGCAGTCACTCAAGGAAAAGGCTCCCCAGCTGTATTTGTGCCTGAAACCAATGTAGTTGTGATTACATCCACAGAAAGCAAACTGTTAACAAGACCTGGTGCATGACCATGTGATTCACCTTTGACTCCTTGGACTATTGACAATAAACATGTTCTCATACTGAATTTGGTCTAAACCCATCAATATTTGTTAATCCTCCAGAAGCCAACATATAGTGAGTGAGTTTAATTTCACGCTGCTTTTAGCAATATTCCAGCAATATCGCAGCGAGGGAGACCCGAAATGGACTTCACACATTGTACCCATGTGGGGAATTGAACCAGGGTTTTCAGCATAATGAGCGAACGCTTTAACCACTAGGCTACTCCACCGCCCCTACGTAGTAGGATAAGATGGTAATTTGAATGTTAACCTTCCAGTACTTTCCATCAGCTTGGGTAAGTATACTCCCTAGGAAAGTTGTAGCCACATAGCATGTTTGTTTGTTGTTTAATGTCGCACTCAGCAGTATTCCAGCTATATGATGGCAGTCTGTACATAATCGAGTCTGAACCAGACAATCCAGTGATTGACATCATGAGCACTGACCTACACAACTGGGGTACAATGACATGAAATAACCAAGACAGCGAGCCTGACCACCTGATCCCACTATTTGCTACAACAAACAAGGTCTGCTGAAAAACAGTTCTACCCGGATCTTTAAAAGTCCACACATCAAGTGACAGATCATGTTGTGGCAACATACATGTCAGACTGTCAAATCTGACCTAAGTTTATACATTGTTATGCCTTCTCTGAAATGCATAAATGTCATCCATTATGCTGTTATCCAAACAAAACAGCACCAGATCAGCCTTAATCAGATGAACAGTCTGATATACATCCTCCATTGAAAATGTTTCACTCATTTCAATTTCTTGAGATGGAACCCAAGGTATTCATGTCCTGAAAACACATACCAAATTTGGTTTCCCTATAGATCTATTTCGGTTTCGGTTTCGGAGAAATCCTGTCCCTATTGGGGATACCATGCACTAAGTCAAGAAACCCATGACAAGGGGCATAACTCTGTAACAAATTGTAACACTGGATTGTTTCCGTTTTCGAACTCCATCAAGGCATTCATCTCCTGAAAACTCATACCAAATTTGGCTTCTCTATCTATTACGGTTTCCGAGAAAATCGGACCCGATCATCACGAACAGACGGATGGACAGAGCTCAAACCTATATCCCCTAAATTGGTGGCAGGGGACAATAATATCAAAGAATTGGGTTGTCCTTGACCTCCTTTGAGAGCTATACAAAAACACCAAATATATTGTGTAATACCAACAAATGCACTCACTCAAAAGCTTTCAGTTTAGCCTTGAAAGGTCTCGCAAAGATACTTTTGAGAGAGAGTGCTGCTCCAATGATAAGACATTCTTCCAGAAGACAGAAGACATGGCCAAGAACAAGCAGTTTCCCGATACGTATATCAACTGGCAGGTCCGCGAGTACCCTCCCGATGAAAGTCAGGTCTCCATCATACCGGCTGTTTGGTGCGTTGTACGATGTGGCTAGAGCACCCACCTGGAACATTTATGGCAGTCTATTGAACCAGATCAGACAAAATACATTAGAACAAGAGGATGTTATATTTCAATCCCATAAAAGTTTGTCACACATCTAGTTTGTTCCCTAAATATTAACTGAACCTTTAAATAAGTGCTAACCACATACGAAATAACCCCACACTAATAATGACAATGTCATTAAGGAGTGTTAAATGACATCAAAACATTGTCAACTCCAACTTTTGGTACTCCAGGTTACTTTCAGCAACTGCCTCTGAAATCCAGTTAATATTCATACTTGAAAATCTGGAGATTGACATTGTTGCACATATGCACATGCAATGGTAAAGGTTTAAAAGAAGCTTGTTCTGATTTCTGATTATTGATTACTATTGTAGTCATACAAAAGCGTACACTGTCATATAGAATGTTTTCATGCAATAGTATTAGCTTTAAGGATATTAACATGAGGCATATGCTATATATTGCATGTCCTTCAGACAAAACAAGGAATGAAATAAAAGTAGGTATTACCTCCTTGAGGTTGAGGATAGTCCTCTCAATATCGTCCAGTTTTGGAATAGACAGGGCAAGACCCAGCAGACGTCTCGGCTCTCCCATGTTGAATATCTTTGTCTTTAGAACCAGAGATTCTAGTGGGCAGCGCTGGGCAAAACAAACAAGTCAGTGAATAGATCACACAACACAACACAACACAACACAACACAACACAACACAACACAACACCACAACACAACACAACACAACACAAGGTGAGAAAACACCAGCAACACCCCACTGGAACTCACACAACACACATTTCATCCTGGACAAATGAAGTGAGTTTAGTTTTAAGGTGCTTTTAGCAATATTCCAGCAATATCACAGTGGAGGACACCAGAATGGGCTTCACACATTGTACAAATGTGGGGAATCGAACCGGGTCTCTGGTGTGACGGGCGAACGCTTTAACCACTAGGCTACCCCTCTGCCCCTCCCAGACAAATGGACAGTAGGACTCTCTATTTCTCTTGTCCTGAGAACTGTACCTGCATCTCTGGTATTCCAAATTCAGGCAGACACTGGCTGAAGAATGTCTTGGTCACCATGAAGTAGCAGCGGCCATTGGAAACACGACCAGCTCGACCTGTAAACATGTGGAATAACACTCACACATACTCAAAAACTTCAAATAATCATGATTATACAGCCACATACATGTAGTGAGCACTTTTATGTAATAACAGCCCAATTATGAGTGAATGAGAATGGTTTTACGCCGCTTTTAGCAATATTCCAGCAATATCACAGCCGGGGACACCAGAAATGGGCTTCACACATTGTGCCCATGTGGGGAATCGAACCCGGGTTTTCAGCATGACAAGCGAATGCTTTAACCATCAGGCAACCCCACCGCCCCTAATATGCATAAAAAGACTGTACCCATCTACATCTACATCTTCATCACATCCCATTTGGTTTCTGAAGCCCTGCTTCTTTATAAATCATACTGTTCATTACATATTTTCATTTCAGCTCATCAAGACTATTTTTACTGAAAAAATCATTTGTCATTGGCTTTTAATCTTTTTCTCAAATCATGATCTTAAGGAAAAATAAATCATTTATCATTGTGTCTTTTCTCCCTTAGTGTGTTGTTGATGCACAAAGGCCCTATTCCAAAAAGCAGTCACATAATAGGTCAATCCAAGCACATGCTTTGACGCAGACAGTCATAGGATCCATTTCTGGTACCGGCCCTGGAACATCATCTTCAATTACATAGCTAATGACACAGTAACATGAGGAATTCCAAACACTGTAATACATGTCAACTACATTCAATCAAACTTGATCAATGTAAGCATTATCACGTCAACAAGTACAGTGAGGTTAGTGGCAGACATTGAAGACAGTGTGGTAGCTGACCTTTTCTTTGGGTACAGTTGGCCTTGGCTGCCCAGTCCACTATCAGATGGGTGTAGTTGGTCATGGGGTCACACACCAGGTTCTTGGTCAGGCAGAAGTCGATGACTACACACAAAACAGGACATATGGGTCATTACTGAACGGCATTAGTGACAAGTGGTCAAACATTAAGCAATCATATTGATTATATGATCCACAATGGGTGAGTGAGTGAGCTTAGTTTTATGCGGCACTCAGCAATATTCCAGCTATATGGCAGCGGTCTGTAAATAATCAAGTCTTAACCAGACAATCCAGTGATCACAGCATGAGCATCGATCTATGCAACTGGGATACGATGACATGTGTCAACCAAGTCAACGAGCCTGACCACCCGATCCCGTTAGTCGCCTCTCCACAATGGGATGTTCTGTAGTTTCTTTGTCCAACCTTACTCGAAGACTAAGCAACATGTCTGCTACAAACAGGGATGAGAATGAATATGAGTGAAAAAAATAGCAAAATGAGCTGGGGGTCTTGAGGGCCGCAGGTTTGGACGATTCACAAGAATGACCCCAGCTCTATCAAATCCATTGAAAAATTCTCATCCCTGTATATAATGATCTTCTATCACTACATCTGGACTGACAATCCAGTGAATGACATCACAAACATTAAACTGCAGACTTTTTAAGATGACATTCACAATCCATAACAAATGATAACATTTTGGGTGGTCAGTTAAAGTTAGTGAGTGAGTTCAGTTTTACGCCCGCACTTAGCAATTTTCAGCTATATAGCGGCGGTCTGTAAATAATTGAGCCTGGACCAGACAATCCAGTCATCAACAGCATGAGCATCGATCCGCGCAATTGGGATACGATGACATATGTCAACCATGCCAGCGAGCCTGATCACCCGATCCCGTTAGTCGCATCTTACGAGCACATGACCTAGTTTTGTGATGGTTGCAAAAGTAGGTTTTACTGCAGTTTCTAAGCATTTGTTCACTCCAACCCAATTAAAAGTCAAGAAAACGTGCATTGTATGAACACAGTCATACAAGCTGTACATGGTACATATTCTCTTCAAGATGTACCTTTAGTTTGACATGTGTCCACTTTGCACTTCAATAAGGCAAGCAGAGTTAGCTCCCTTCTCGAACCAGTGCTATAGAGAATCTCACCCAAGTGTCTTCTGCTAACAAGTTGATAAAGTTACAAATATCCGAGGCTTGCCGAGTGTTGATATATTTGATATCAGAAGACATGAGGGTGAGATTCTTTTATCATAAAAAATCACTCTTCATTTTTTTTTCAATGAAATATGTACATCTCTGAACACGGTACTGCCATTAGACTTACATTACAGCGATGTCATAGCATTGTGACGTCATCAAGTTCATGACCTCATAGCATTGTCAGGGCATTGTACAAAATCTACTGTCAAAACGATATCTCCTAGGAGATATCGTTTGATCACACACTTGCAATATCTCCTGTGGATAGTTTTTTTGATGATAAAAGGCTGTTCCGCTAAAAACTGAAAATATCTCAAAAGGCCAGGATGCCATGGGCCTTCACTGATATTTAACAAACTGAGTTGGCGTTGTTTGTATCAAGTGTTACAAGTCTTTTGTAACATGTCAAACAGATATGAAACTCATAAACTTGGAGCATCAAAACTAATATATATGGAAGGATGTTTGAAACAACATGCTTCAGTCCAACTTCGACATCCTTCAGTAACAGAAAGAAACGTACCATATTTGATATCTGGAACAGTTATTGATGACTCAGCAATGTTGGTGGACAGTATCACCTGCAATACAACACATACAGTTCAGGTAGGGTGAAGGATAAAGTACACTTCATGTAGGGTGAAGGATAAAGTACACTTCACGTTGGTGAAAGATAAAGTACACTTCACGTAGGGTGAAAGATAAAGTACACTTCACGTTGGGTGAAAGATAAAGTATACTTCACGTAGGGTGAAAGATAAAGTACACTTCACGTTGGGTGAAAGATAAAGTACACTTCACGTTGGGTGAAAGATAAAGTACACTTTACATAGGGTGAAGGATAAAGTACACTTCAGGTCGGGTGAAGGATAAAGTAATCTTCACGCAGGTGAAGGATAAAGTACACTTCACATTGGGTGAAGGATAAAGTACACTTCACGTAGGGTGAAGGATAAAGTACACTTCACGTTAGGTGAAAGATAAAGTACACTTCACGTAGGGTGAAAGATAAAGTACACTTCACGTTGGGTGAAAGATAATGTACACTTCACGTTGGGTGAAAGATAAAGTACACTTCACGTTGGGTGAAAGATAAAGTACACTTCACATAGGGTGAAAGATAAAGTACACTTTACATAGGGTGAAGGATAAAGTACACTTCCCACGAGGGTGTGAAAGATAAAAGTACACTTCAGGGTGAAGGATAAAGTACACTTCACTATTGGGTGAAGGATAAAGTACACTTCACATTGGGTGAAGGATAAAGGGGGTGAAAGATAAAGCACACTTCCACGTTGGGTGAAAGATAAAGTACACTTCACGTTGGGTGAAAGATAAAGTACACTTCACGCTGGGTGAAGGATAAAGTACACTTCACGCTGGGTGAAGGATAAAAAGTACACTTCACGTTGGGTGAAAGATAAAGTACACTTCACGTTGGGTGAAAGATAAAAGTACACTTCACGTTGGGTGAAAGATAAAGTACAGTATACTTACACTTCAGGGTGAAAGATAAAGTACACTTCACGCTGGGTGAAAGATAAAGTACACTTCACATAAGGTGAAAGATAAAGTACACTTCACATAGGGTGAAGGATAAAGTACACACTTCACGTGAATTGAAGGATAAAGTAATCTTCACACGTTGGGTGAAGGATAAAGTACACTTCACGTTGGGTGAAGGATAAAGTACACTTCACGTTGGGTGAAGGATAAAGTACACTTCACGTTGGGTGAAAGATAAAGTACACTTCACGCTGTGAGGGTGAAAGATAAAGTACACTTCACGTTGGGTGAAAGATAAAAGTACACTTCAATGTAGGGGTGAAAGATAAAGTACACTTCACGCTGGGTGAAGGATAAAGTACACTTCACGTTGGGTGAAAGATAAAGTACACTTCCACGTGGGGGTGAAGGATAAAGTACACTTCCGCGTTGGGTGAAGGATAAAGTACACTTCACGTTGGGTGAAAGATAAAGTACACTTCACGTTGGGTGAAGGATAAAGTACACTTCACATAGGGTGAAAGATAAAGTACACTTCACGTAGGGTGAAAGATAAAGTACACTTCACGTTGGGTGAAGGATAAAGTACACTTCATGTAGGGTGAAAGATAAAGTACACTTCACATTGGGTGAAGGATAAAGTACACTTCACGTAGGGTGAAAGATAAAGTACACTTCACGTTGGGTGAAGGATAAAGTACACTTCACGTAGGGTGAAAGATAAAGTACACTTCACATTGGGTGAAGGATAAAGTACACTTCACGTAGGGTGAAAGATAAAGTACACTTCACGTTGGGTGAAAGATAAAGTTCACTTTACATAGGGTCCATGGTTTTATACACATTGGGCTAGTTTTTGTAGAAGGGGTCAGTCTTCCAGGCAGCCTGGTGATGTGTAACCTGCTGATGATCACCTGCATCAAAGTACTCCATTGTACTCACCTTCCGCTGCCCCTTGAGAGCTGGCTCAAACACCCTCATCTGCTCGTCCTGAGTGATGGTGGAGTGTAGAGGGATGACTTTCAGGCTGAAGCACACAGAGGTACAAATAAGCTGCGTATCTGCGGAAAGTTATCTGTAGCTCTAAACACAAATCTAGCTGGGTAAGACTACAGAATAACGGATACCTCCCGCAATCTTTGAAAGCACGTGAGTTTACTTAGGGTTAGGGTAAGGTTTAGGGTAAGGGTAAGGTATAGGGTTAGGGTAAGGTTAGGGTAAGGTTTAGGTAAGGGTAAGGGTTAGGGTTAGGGTAAGGTAAGGGAGTAGGGTTAGGGTTAGGGTTAGGGTAAGGTTTAGGGTTAGGGTTTGGGTTAAGGTAGGGGTTAGGTTAGGGTTAGGGTTAGGGTAAGGGTTAAGGGTTAAGGTAAGGTTTAGGGTTAGGGTTTGGGTTAGGTAAGGTTAGGGTTAGGGTTAGGGTTAGGGTGACAGGACACTAAACAATATGGCTGGTAGGTATCCGGTATTCTGTAGGTGTACCTCTAGCTGCAGCACTGAGTTCATTCCAAAATCAAATGTGCATAGATTTGGAGATTTGGGTTTAAGCAAGGCAAACGTAAACACATAATAAAAAGAGAAGAGTACCCATAGTTTCCAAAATACAAAACGGCTTGACTGGAAGTAAGCTTACTCTTAAGTCTTAGTTTTATAATATCTTTAACATTTTAACAAAAAGGAATTTACTGAACATGAATGTACCAGGTAATATAACATCATTTTATCACTAACATCCATTCACTTCCTTACTACTGTTATCTTTGGATATTGGCCAAGATAACCAACTCTTGAAACAAATCCTGGATTTGAGGATGTTACTTACTTGTGTTTTGCTTCATGTACTCTCAGTTTGTCGTACAAATCCGAGATTTCACCATAACCTGTCAAAATTATTAGGCAACTTAAATCAGACAATGGATGAATGGATGGATAGATGGATGGATAGATGGATGGACTGATGAATGGATCTATGCATGCATGGATGGATGGGTGGATGGAAGGATGGATCCATGGATGGGTGGATGGATGGATGGATGGACAGATGAATGGATCTATGCATGGATGGATGGAAGGATGGATAGATGGATGACAGATGAATGGATCTATGGATGGGTGGATAGATGAATGGATCAGCATGGATGGATGGAAGGATGGATGGATCTATGGATGGGTGGATGGATGGATGGACTGATGAATGGATCTATGCATGCATGCATGGATGGGTGGATGGAAGGATGGATCCATGGATGGGTGGATGGATGGATGGACTGATGAATGGATCTATGCATGCATGGATGGATGGGTGGATGGAAGGATGGATCCATGGATGTTATGGGTGAATGAATGGACTGATGAATGGATCTATGCATGGGTGGATGGAAGGATGGATCCATGGAAGGGTGGGTGGACGGATGGATGGACTGATGAATGGATCTATGGATGGATGGATGGAAGGATGGATCCATGTATGGATGGATCTATGGATGGATTGACTGATGAATGGATCTATGCATGGGTGGATGGAAGGATGGATCCATGGAAGGGTGGAAGGATGGATGGATGGATGGGATGGATGGATCTATGGATGGATGGATGAAGACAGACAATGATCCATATGGATGGATGGATGGATGTGTGTGTGTGTGTGTGTGTGTGTGTGTTTGTGTGTGTGTGTGTGTGTGTGTGGATCTATTGATGGATGGATGGATGGATAGATGGATGGATGATTCATCTGAGACAAAGACAATTCTTGAGGATCTCAACAGTTAATCTGGAGGAACAAATTGATAGTTCTGATAGATCAGATATATTGCAGAATAAGTTTACATAATGCTCCATTCCTTTTTTGGATGAAATGTTTTGATAGGTTAGGAAGGTATATGAGAGTCTGGAGCAAATGAATTGCAAATATGTTTGATCATGTTTATCACGCTAGGGTAGGGTACCTGGCAGAAAGCACAGTACGGTTCCGCGGACAGGGGAAAAGTTTGTGTCTTTGTCCAGCCTGGTAACAGAGAGGTAAACAAGGAATACATTCATTACATGAACATGGTAGGAGACATTGTCCTCCTAGAATATGCTGAATAATTGTAGAAAACATGAATTAGCAAACAAACGATTAATGTTAAACTTCATCAAACAATTACTGAATGTAAAATATAAACAAATAAAAGATGCAGATCAATGATAGTATTACTCACAAACTTGTTTAATATGAGTTCACACAGTATATCCTAGTTAAGCCTGACAACACACACATACCCTTGCTCTTTGCGTTCCAGTGAGTCAAACTCACAGATGAGTTTGACAGCCATGTCCTCGATCTCCTCACTTAATTCAGGCTTACTCTCATCGAATTCAGGGAGCTGCACACAAAGAACATAATTGTAGTATAAGGTTACAGGTTACTGAAAGTATCCAGAAGCAAGGTCGCCTATAATGACTATCAGCCCTGCATAAGGGCATGGGCATGCTTGTGTGCGTGTGTGTGTGTGTGCGGGAGTGTGTGTGTGCTGGTTGTGTGTGTGCTGGTTGTGTGTGTTTTGCTTTTTGCCACACTCCACAATATTCCTGCTTTGTTACGGTACTCTATAAATAAACATGCCTAGATCAGACAATCCAGTCCTGGGTATTATCAGCAATGATCTGACAATCCATTTGGAAGAAATCCACAATAGAGAAATCTCTCATGTCAATTAACTTGGTAAAGCTGACATTAGAAAATCACCATCAGTGTTCAAAACAAACAACCTTATTAAAGCAGTCTCTTTTCACACGGCTGAAAATTATTTCAACATTTGACGAAAGTAAGAGTGAGTGAGTGAGTTTAGTTTTACGCTGCTTTTAGCAATATTTCAGCAATATCACAGCAGGGGACACCAGAAATGGGATACACACATTGTGCCCATGTGGGGAATCGAACCCGGGTTTTCGGCATGACAAGCGAATGCTTTAACCATCAGGCAACCCCACAGCCCCTAATATGCATAAAAAGACTGTACCCATCTACATCTACATCTTCATCACATCCCATTTGGTTTCTGAAGCCCTGCTTCTTTATAAATCATACTGTTCATTACATATTTGCATTTCAGCGAATTCAGCGAATCGAACAAGGGTCTTCGGAGTGACGAGCAAACGCTTTAACCACTAGGCTACCCCACCGCCCTGTACAATTCAGCAAGAAAATGATGTTATCAGTATCACACAGTATCTGTCATGAGTATAAGTATGCATACTTGTATGATCCATATGACACCAAGGATCATCAACCTGGTGTTTCATCAGTACTTACCTGTCCAAGTGCGGGAGTGAGATCATCAGCGTAGAACTCCAGCACCCTGAACACTCGGCCCTCAACACTCACCACCGGCGCCGGTTCCAGGCTATCGCGGACTGGCAGGGCAAAGTAATCGGCGAACTGGTCAGAGTCTATGGTGGCCGACATCAGGATGACCTGTAAGACAGGGCAGGACAGGGCGTTACAACCACCACAACCACATATGGTGTACAACAGACCACTCACAGATCAACCACAGACCATGCACAGGTCAACCACAGAACACGAACAGATCGACCACAGACCACTCACAGGTCACAGTCTATGGTGGCCGACATCAGGATGACCTCTAAGACAGGGAAGGATAGGGCGTTACAACCACCACAAACACATATGGTGTACAACAGCCCACGCACAGGTCAACCACAGACCACTCACAGATCAACCACAGACCATGCACAGGTCAACCACAGACCATGAACAGATCAACCACAGACCACGCACAGGTCAACCACAGACCACGAACAGATCAACCACAGACCATGCACAGGTCAACCACAGACCATGAACAGGTCTACCACAGACCACACACAGATCAACCACAGACCATGAACAGATCAACCACAGACTACACACAGGTCAACCACAGACTACACAGAGGTCAACCACAGACCATGAACAGGTCAACCACATACCATGAACAGATCAACCACATACCATGAACAGATCAACCACAGACCACGAACTGATCAACCACAGACCACACACAGACCACACACAAGTCAACCACAGACCACACACAGATCAACCAGATCAACCACAGACCACTCACAAGTCAACCACAGACCACACACAGACCACACACAAGTCAACCACAGACCACACACAGATCAACCAGATCAACCACAGACCACATACAGATCAACCACAGACCAGGCACAGGTCAACCACAAACTACAGTGAGTTTAGTTTTACGCTGCACTCATCAATATTCCAGCTATATGGCAGCAGTCTGTAAATAATCGAGTCTGCAACAGACAATCGAGTGATCAACAGCATGAGCATCGATCTGCACAATTGGGAACCGATGACATGTGTCAACCAAGTCAGCGAACCTGACCACCCGATCCCGTTAGTCGCCTCTTACGACAAGCATAGTCGCCATTTGTGGCAAGCATGGGTTGCTGAAGACCTATTCTACCCCGGATCTTCATGGGTCAGATCAACCACAAACTATACACGGATCAATCACATACCACATACAGATCAATCACAGACCATGCACAGGTCAACCACAAACTACACACAGATGAACCACAAACCACATACAGATCAATCAAAGACCAAGCACAGATCAACCACAGACCAGAAACAGCTCAACCACAGACCAGAAACAGCTCAACCACAGACCAGAAACAGCTCAACCACAGACCATGCACAGGTCAACCGCAGACCACACACAGATCAATCACAGACCACATACAGATCAACCACAGACCATGCACAGGTCAACCACAAACTACACACAGATCAACCACAGATCACATACAGATCAATCACAGACCACACACAGATCAACCACAGACCATGCACAGGTCAACCACAGACCACATACAGATCAACTACACACAGATAAATCAAGCTCCACACTCAGGTCAACCAGATCAATAACAACTATCACATATCACATCACATCACACACACACACACACACACATTACAAACAAGACAGAAAATATCCCACATCAGGCACAGATGAACATCTGAGTTCCACTAACCTTGACATGTTGTGAGTTGGTACGCAGCAACTTCCGCACAATCAACAGGGCAAAATCCGACTCCTGGTCTCGTTCGTGAACCTGAAAACCATGAATGACTATAGTTTCACGTACTACTCATTAATATTGGTTTAATAGTTCAGTAATGTGGCTCTCAGAAATATTCCAATTTTTGAACATGTACTCTACAGTTACACAAATGTATGTTCCTTTATGAAGGTTTGTGATACCATAATTGAGAAGACAGAGATGTTCTGAAGGGCACAACACATTAACAGACGTCTTAGAAGAGCTGCAGACTGACCTCATCAAGGATCACGTGTGTGTATTGCAGCATATTTTTCGTCTTAATCAACTTCTCTCTCAGTACCCCAGTTGTACAGTAGGTGATGCGAGTGTCCTCCGATGTTTTGTTGTCCAGGCCAATCTGAAAGGAATACGATATCATCATCATTTGGGTTACAAAACATTTGTTCTTGTAAAACTAATTGACTTGATATGATGATCTGATAGCACCTGGACTGAAGGTGAAGGTGAGGGTGAGGGTGAGGTGAGGTAGACTGAAGGTGAAGGTGAGGTGAGGTGGACTGAAGGTGAGGTGAGGTGAGGTGAGTGAGGTGAGGTTTGAGGTGGACTGAACTGCTACGCTGCTCTCAGAAATATTCCAGCTATATGGCGACGGTCTGTAAATAATCGAGTCTGGACCAGACAATCAAGTGATCAACAGCATGAGCATCAATCTGCTCAATTTGGAACCAATGACATATGTCAACCCATTTAATGAGCCTGACCACCCGATCCCGTTAGTCGCCTCTTACGACAAGCATGGGTTACTGAAGGCACATTCTAACCCGGATCTTCACAGGTCTGGTGAGGTGAGGTGAGGTTTAACGCTGCTTATTATTCAACTTATGTGGTGAAGTGCATGTATTTGTGTGTGGACGTATGGGGGTGCTCCTTGAACTAGGCCTGAGCAGGATTTACTGTATAAACCCCCAGAGATACCATGCCACAGTTTAACATGGACACCCCACAACACTACACAGACTCCATGCTAACCAGTCTTTGTTTTAACCCCTTAACAATCCTAAACACATATTGCCAGGCAGGGCAACATCAGGTACAATGTTTGAATATTTCTTGCTATGACACAACCTGGGTTCAAACCAGAATTTCCTCTCTGCGTTGGTTGGTTGGTTGTTTAACACAGCACTCAGCTATATTCCAGCTATATGGCGGCGGTCTGTAAATAATCAAGTCTGGACCAGACAATCCAGTGATCAACAGCATGAGCCTCTTGCGACAAGGATGGGTTACTGAAGGCACATTCTAACCCAGATCTTCACGGGTTTCCTCTCTGGGCACAACATGAATCAGTACAATCTGCTATGATTTTCACTTTACACATCTCTAAGCCAAGCACTGTTGTAAGTCTAAATCAGCAGGCCACTTACCTGGTATCCACAGATCGCTCCAAGAGTCCAGTTCCTCTCGGAGCATACCCTCCTTGCCACGCTGACTGCGGCAATACGACGAGGCTGTGTGATGATGATGTTGCAGTGCTTGTGTTCCTGAGCATAGTGATCCAGGATGTACTGGGGCACCTGCGTGGTCTTGCCAGAGCCGGTGGAACCCTGGACCACTGTCACCTGGTTACTCTCTATAGTGCTCAACAGCTGGAACATAGGCCACATCGTCAGTACGGGAATGGTATTGTTCAAATAGATGAGAGAACAACTAAAACTGACAGGGTTATCGCTTAAGTACATGAGAGAACAATTATCACTGACAGGGTTATCGCTTAAGTACATGAGAGAACAATTATCACTGACAGGGTTATGGTTTAAGTACATGAGAGAACAATTATCACTGACAGGGTTATGGTTTAAGTACATGAGAGAACAACTATCACTGACAGGGTTATGGTTTAAGTACATGAGAGAACAATTATAACTGACAGGTTTAAGTACATGAGAGAACAATTATAACTGTCAGACTACAAACCAGATCTGTGATTTATCTTGGATTCTGAACAACAATACGTGCCATTGTTAAGCAAAGTGGGAAAAACGTGTCATACTGTTAGATCATCTTAATGTTCCTAGTTTCACAAATTCTGACGAATCAGGAATATTTTAACTTAAATTAGGAATTTTTACTATCAGCTGCAGATGTCAGCCCAAATATCAGCCTCTCATCAGATCTAGATAAACCCCACCCAGATGCAGCATACAGTAAACAAAATGTTTACTAAATTATAAGCACACATCAAACATAGATGTCTGTAGCCTTTACAGCTTGATTGAAGCATCCCTTATGAGGAAATGTGAATCAGATGTCTTATTCCTAAAGCAACACTTATGACCAAATAACTTGAATACCTACAGGAAAAAATATTACTCCAGATCAAAGACAAATAACTTAAGATGCTTAAGCTGAGCTCAATTTGTCGACCAGTTTTAGAGAAAAGGAAACTGCTGGGTCTCTGCTGACTAACAACAGATGACACATGACAATATGTGCTCAAAGTCCTAACCTAATGAGTAAGAAGGACATGAGAAATGCAAGCACCTGTTCCTTGTGGTTTGTGATGGGCAGTTTCTTGTCATAGTTGTGGGCAAAGTGGTAGTTGTTGTAGACTTCAGTGGCTCCAGGAGGCACCAGGTCCTCCGGCATCCCCACGGACCCCGCCACGGTGCTGTCTAGTTCCAGCTGCTCCATCCCCCCAACCACTTCCCCACCAGGAGACATCGGCCCAACCTGCAGGGGCTGAAACACACATTCCAGCTATCATTCCAAAGCTGCTCACCACACACAATGTCTAAAGATCTTACCCACAATCATAATATATCACATGTATCAAAAGTTTAAATGCTATGTTAAATTTAGTTCTCAACTATATTTCAAGAAACTTCAAGACTTAGTACTTTACTAAGAAAATGTAATACAAACTGTTACAGATTACATTCGACCACTTTGTCAAAAGATATGGTGTAAAGAAACTTTCTGTCATAGACAGCCATGCTAATTTGGACTTGTCACAGGTGAGCAAAGTATGTGATCTAGACTACCAGGTAGGGGTGACTATTGAGGGAAAACAACTATCGCGATAGCGATAGTCTATTGCAACATAATATTGTGATATCGATAGTCTATTGCGACCAACTATTGCAATACTGTTGCAATAGTGTTTTTCTCCTTGAATTGTCTCATTTGAAGTAATTTCCCAAATGAATGTATAGTTTATATGAAACAAAAACAAGCTGAAGTAGTTTCAGTCTCTTTTAATAACTGACAAGAAACATCAAACCCAGATTAAGATAACAGGGGTGGTTAACTCTAAATCAAAGTGTATGAATCTGGTACTTCCTGTAGTTTGAGCTGCGCATTTATCAACGGAATTACTAAACTATCGATAGTCACACATACTATCCTAGTCTGTCTCACAGTCCCTGAACCACATTATTTTCCCTACTGCCAAGCCCTCTCTGCAGTGCTAAAGCCCTAAATAAAGCAAGTCTAGATTTCCTCAGGTTCTGTCTCCCTAGGGCTCCTTTTCAATATAAATGGGCTTTTTTGTTACTATCAAAATTATATATATTCAGAGACTAAGCCTTAGTCTAATACTATCGATGCATCGATAGTTTTTCCTTTCTACCATCGATTAATCGCTATCGGAGACTCAACAATTGTAATCCATCGATAGTTAGATGCATCGTTACAGCCCTGCTACCAGTTGTGGGACTTCTATATTTGTTGAAGTCTCAGTAGCTGAGCAGATTTGATCAGAGACTTTCGTGTGTTGATTTGTTGCCTCACTCAGTTCAGGTTCACATTCCAGACTGCATTCAATCCAGAAAGTATTAGAATTCGTACTTTACTAAGAAATGTGTTAGCCCTAAATAACATTCATTTCGTCTCGTGTGGAAGCTGGGAATGATACATATACACCATTACAAAGCTATGACTAACACAGCACACACTTTAGATTTGTACAGTTTGAGGACAAGAATGAGGACATTTCAGAGACTGGAAGTCACGACTGATGAATGTCATGAAGGATACACCATGGATACAGATTAGAATGCATTTAACATGTTTAAAATCTGTGGAAATCTATACCTTCACCATTTTGTTCAGGGCTTTATACAACACATAATGAGAATCCAGAACGCACTATTGTATGGAATTGATGCAAAGAAGAATATATATTGCATTCCTGGGGACCATAATAATATTAATTATATAAAATTCATAACAAAACCTGGGGCGGTGGGGTAGCCTAGTGGTTAAACCGTCTGCTTGTCATGCTGAAGACCCGAGTTTGATTCCCCACATGGGTACAATTTGTGAAGCCCAATTTTGGTGTCGCCAGCCGTGATATTGCTGGAATATTGCTGAAAGTGGCCATGATATTGCTGGAATATTGCTAAAAGTGGCGTAAAAACATACCCATTCACTCACTCACTTAACAAAAACTATTAAACTCCTGGTTACTAATCTGTTTGAATCTTACATTCTTACTTTCTTATCCTGGTAATTAATGCAATCATCAAACCTTACAGTAGAGTATTTTTTAATTAACTTCACCTTATTCTTCTTAGACCCTAGTTTTGTAGGCCAAAGTAAAACTCTGAGCCTTTCATCATTGTTTCACCATACCACTAACATCAGTTGTGCAGGTACACTCATGATCATGATGTTGAATAGAGCACTGCCCTACCTTTGTCTTATAAACAGGTAAGACTGGGCCACCATGGCCCATCAGTACTTTTGTTGTGCTCCATTCCATCACTAACTGTACAGATGGAGCCACTGAACACGGAACACTTCTGCCGAGAAACTGTTCTCATGTCACCTTTATACCAGAATCTGTGATCATCTGTGGCACCGCATACCTTTGTAATTCCCCACCTAATGGAATATGACAGTCCTCATCAGTCGTAACCCATTTGCTTGCTGGAAGGACATTCTTGACATAATCTCTGAGGTCAACTGGTTTCACTAGGTTCCAGTGTACATTAAACATGCTAAAAAGGAGTGATATACACTCAGCCTGGGTTTAGTTGAATGATTAGTCAAAACTATATGACCCTCTATTTCTGCAGACAACTGGTTGGTTGGTTATTGTTGTTTAAACACAGCATTCAGCAATATTCCAGCTAAATGGCGGCGATCTGTAAGTAACTAAGTCTGGACCAGACAATCCAGTGATCAACAGCACTGACATTAATCTATGCGATTGGGATGCGATGACATGTGTCAACCAGGTCAGTGAGCCCGACCACCCGATTCTGTTAGTCACCTCATACGAGAAGCATGGGTTTCTGAAAATCAATTCTAACCCGGATCTTCATGGGTCTGCATGTAACTGGAGCAAATGGTCCAGGAGTGGCCCTACATATTAACGAAACAAGACCTATTTGTTTTCACTGGTAACCATGGTAACAAATTGAGTGATGTCTTGGAATGTGTAGGGGTGTTCCAGACCTGATAATGCTGCAGGAGATGTTGTTTCTCCTCCTCTTGGATCCGCTCAGCATACTCGTGTTGGTCCACAGCCACATTCCTACAACACCACCCACACATCATCAGAGGCCCAGATAAGCTGCGTATCCGGGTAAAATATGCATAGAAAATTTCCAATTACACACTGAAAAAATCATTGTTGCGTACCAATTACGCATTTAAAATGTTGATATGCAAAAAGTTTAAAACAAATGCGTACAGAATATATTAATGAAAATCAATTGCGTAATGAAAAAGACATCGATTGCTATCAAGTTGTACTGTTAGTATAGGGCAAGTTTTGTACTGTCAGTATAGGATGAGTGATTTTTTATGAAATCATTTCCATTATATTTAAGTTGGTTTTGATTAGGTATGACATAAGGCAGAACATACCTGCTTAGTAAACTTACTCAATGACATATACTTAGGTGAGTAAAATGACTGAAATACGCACGTTTGAAAGCAGTGGGTAACGGAAAATGAAATACCCACTCAACATTCATAATACCCACTCCAAAAAAATACATTGGGTACAGTACCCACATGAGCTAAATCTTATCTAGAGCTCTGCATCATCATGCTCTTGTTTGTCCACAGCCACCTTACAACATCTTAACAATCAAAGCAGGCCCGACATAACAATCTGATCATGTAAACACTAAACTTAGAGCAACCAGTCTGAAATAAATGCTAACATTATCAACTTGGTGTGTAACCATGGAATGTACATTGTCGTTGTCATTAAACAAAACATCATGCAACTGACAATCCAGAAAGTCCTGTAGGTTCACAGGTCCTATTCAGAACCCACCAGAGTACAAAATACCTACCAAGCCCAAATTTAAGATCAACTTCCTAAACATTTGTTGCTGTTAATATTTGTCACTCAAAGTATTACGGTTTGGTTCCTGATAGGTTTGTTATTTTTCTGCTGTTTAATGCTCAGCACTCACCAATAATCCAGTCATAAGAAAATTATTGAATCCAATGATAAACAGCATGAGCATCTATCAAAGAAGTTAGGAAACATTGGCATGTGACAACCAAGTCAGCAAACTGACCACCAGCCTCGACTTCTCGAAACAAACTCAAGTCTGAGTTTTGACTTAAGTTAGAGTTTTTACTCAAATTTGAGCAAATGCATTTCCCTCATAGTAGACAATTGGAGTTTGGTGGATAGATTACTTAAGTTATTTTGGCATTTTTATTTTAAAAATGCAGTTGAGTTAAAAATTCAGCTGTTTCAAATTGTCAAACTCAGTTTGAAATTTGAGTAAAAACTTAAGTTTGTTTCGAGAAATCGGGGCCCGATCCCATTAGTTTCCTCTTACGACAAGCATGGGTTGCAGAAGAACAGCTGTAACCCGGATGCATGTGGTTACTACTAAGTGAAACGTAGCATATTTTATCATGGTTATTTCATTTTGTGTCCGGTGTGACACGTGTCCTACTTCGTTTCAATCATCAACCATGCTTACGGTTTTCACAAGGAATTATCATACGAATATGCGGCAAGTGTGTTTCCTGAAACGCACCTTTTATAGGTTGGAAGATGCTTTGAAAAGTCATTTTGTTGCACTCCATGTACAGTTCCAGTTCGTGGGTCGTAGTCCCGGCCTCCAGTGAAGCTTCGTGGCACAGACTGTATCGTGGACTTCTTCTGTGTTGCTTCCTTTCCTATCTTGAACCAGTCGTCAATATCTTCTAGTGTAATATCAGTTGTTAACCTGCTCATGTTGACGAACTATCCGAGCTTTCGCTTGTTATGAACTGTCAACACTTTCGCACATGGCGCCAAGTAGAGCTGTTTATGGCTGCCTAAGTTTCGCACCCAGGGGGTCGTCTCAAAACAAACAATTTTTATAATGAACTTTTGAGCATTTATCTAACGCAAGCATTTTCAAAAACAGTTGTCAATAATTTGAAAGCACACGCACAACATACATTTATATTATTTGTGTTAGAAATGAAAACACCGTGCCCCGATGGTTTGATAAAAACTGAGTAAGCATAACCACTTACTCACCCGTATTACACCAGGCGGATCCAGTGTGTGTGTGCGTGTGTGTGCGTGCGTGCGTCTTTTCTAAAAAAAGTTGTATCCTCCCCTGCAGGCTAATTATACAAATGTGTTACTTTTGGATTGACTGTGGAAACTTGTACTGTATGAAATATTACGTATGAGACAACAATTATCTCGCATTGGAGTGATTATGATGGGTAGGTAACCAGTAACAACAGAATAATGATATTGTAACAACGTGGTTAGACAAAGATCACACGGTGTGGGAGACAAAACCGGATTAAGCTACAATTCAGGTGGGATAACCCTGAAGATCTGGGTTAGAATTAATCTTCAGCAAGCCATGCTTGTCGTAAGAGGCGACTATCGGGTTCAATAATCAAGTCTGGACCGACAATCTAGTGATCAACAGCATAGAATAGTATAGAATAATACTTTAATGCCTTTTCAGGAATTTGTGTTACATCAGCAGAGCTACTGACACATTAGAGAGATACCAAACATATTTACATAAATTCATTGATTTAGGTATCTTCACATTTGTTTAAGAGAGATATGGTACTTGGAATAAAGGATGTACGGGCTCTCTTAGTTTTCACAATTGGAACTTTGTAGCGGCGGCCTGAAGGGAGGAGGTTGTATTCCGAATTTAAGTAGTGAGTACGGTCAGATATAATTTTGACAGCTTGATTCACGATTTGCCGCTCATATATTGATGATAAACATTCAAATCTGACTCCAGCGAGTTTACTTGCAGTGTTAACAATTTTGTCTATTTTAGATTTGAGAAGAACTGAGAGAGACCCGTAACAACAATGAAAGGAAAATTTTAAAATACTCTGAATAAATGCTGCATAAAAAGATGACATCACAGATGGGTTAACATTAAAAGATCTCAGTTTACGCATGAGATGAAGACGTTGTTGACACCTTTTGTATAGGGCTTCAGTGTTAGAGTTCCAGTTCAGCTTAGGGTCAATGAAGGTTCCCAGATACTTATACTCCGACACTGTCTCAACAAATTCCCCGTTAATTATCACTGGAAGCATTTCTGTGGGCTTACTCCGAAAGTCAATTATTAGTTCCTTTGTTTTTGTGACATTTAAGGGTAAGTGGTTTTCTGCACACCAAGTCGTAAAATGATTAATGTCCTCTTTATACAGTTCTTCAGAATCAGTGTCGCTCAGTTTGCCAACAATTGCTGCATCATCTGCGAACTTTACAGTTGAACAGGTTGAATTCGAGCTTGCACAATCATTAGTGTAGAGGGTGAAAAGAACAGGAGATATTACACAGCCTTGTGGTGCACCAGTGTTGGTGGTACAGCCCCGTTAACTTTCACGTACTGCTGTCTGTCCACAAGAAAGTTTTCGATCAACTTAATGAGGTATGAGTTAACGCCCATGTCTAACAGTTTCTGTATCATGAAATGTGGCTGGATGGTGTTGAACGCAGATTAAAAGTCAACGAAGAGGATCCTGATGTATGACTTAGGTGTCTCTAGATGTTTATAGACATTATTAAGGAGTGACAGTCTATAAACATCAGCATGAGCATCGATCTACACAACTGGGATACTATGACATGTGTCAACCAAGTCATCGAGCCTGACCACCCGATCCCCTTAGTCGCCACGACCATCATGGGTTGCTGAAGACCAAAGAAAACTAGAAAGTGCCTCTTCATCAGGAATTGCACCATTTTGTTTTTGACGTCATCAGGGGCGAGAACCTCCCTCTCATCTGTTGTTATTTACCGATTCCATTGTTCTGCTATACAAACACCCTCGGGGTAGGGCCAGCACATTTCCGAGGTCATATTACGTCACCTCTGAAATGTGCTGGCCCCATACTGCTATTTTGAAAACAACACTTCTGGGTTCTTGGGATTTGGTGTTTCTTCAGCTGGCCCAAACAAGGGTAGATTACGGGAGGTAGAGCTTGTGTTGGAGGTGTCATTGTGGGCTTCATGAGACAGGAAGAGTGTGATGATGTTGGAAGCTTTTCCTATGAAGGGGAAGACGATGTAGAAGGCGCTGATTCAGGTTTGGAGGTTGTAGATCTGGGTGTGGGTTTACATAGGATGACATTGTGAGGATTGTTAAGGTTTGTGAGGACTTCAAAGAGGTGCTGCATCAGGGCTTGTACCAAAAAGGTGGATTAATTGATGCGTGTGCAGATAATGCCAGACCGATGGTGACGGTTACGTCAAACGCAACATGCTTCTGGCGATGTTTAGCGGACAGCCCTGGAGTGAGTGAGTGAGTTTTGGTTTTACGCCGCTTTTAGCAATATTCCAGCATTTCGCGGCGGGGGACACCAGAAATGGGCTTCATACATTGTACCCATGTGGGGAATCGAACCCGGGTCTTTGCGGTGACGAGCGAACGTTTTAACCAATAGGCTACACCCACCGCCCCAGGACAGCACTGGAAGGTGGGGTGGCCCGCCATGCTCGTGAACAGACTTCTCGTGGGATTAGCTTAGTGACAGATTCCTGTATTCCAGTAGTCTGTCTCACAGTCCCTGAACCACATTAATTTCCCTACTGCCAAGCCCTCTCTGCAGTGCTAAAGCCCTAAATAAAGCAAGTCTAGATTTCCTCAGGTTCAGGGTCTGTTAACATCTGCAAGAAAACTAACTCACTTTGGGGGTCGGATTACAAAGTAAACATATCTAACTGCCATGGCTGGCCGGACCAACATCCTCACCAGTGGTCTGGAATCTTGCCTCACATTTTCATCTGTCAGCTCTTAATTAACAAGCACATTGGGTGACATGAAGCTATAGTGGAGGCCTTGTGCACAGTTTCTGGTCTTTAAGAGACAAATCAAGCAAAATCTTGGGGAAAGGTTCCTCCTGAATGTTATGTTGTAAAAAGTATTGTTTCATTGTCTGACTTGGGTCCACACATAGCATCCCAATTGTTAATGCGGTTAAGGATTTAATTGTAATTAAAACAAGGGTTATTGTTCTTATTCCTGATATAGGATTATTGTGTGAAACTCTGGTTTGTTTTGAGTATCTCTTTTTATCTAATTGCTCAACAGTAAAACATATGGCAGGGACCTAGCACTCATGAAGAATGAGTGAGTGAGTGAGTTTGGGTTTACACCGCATTCAGCAATATTCAATATATGGCGGCGGTCTGTAAATAAGTCGAGTCTGGACCAGACAATCCAGTGGTCAACAGCATGAGCATCTACACAATTGGGATACGATGACATGTGTCAACCAAGTCAGCAAGCCTGACCACCCGACCCTGTTAGTCGCCTTCTCGTGAAGAACCAAATTCAAAAGGCACAGCATCTCGGAATTAAATCTGTTTACCTTCGTGATGTGATTGAGGCATGCAAGGTGAAATCTACTGAGGATGATCTAGTATCTAGAAGTACCCAGAACATCTTCAAGCGTAAGACAGATGCTGCCCTTTTCACTTCCATTGAACAGTTTGTTTAAAAAAAGGTGGTTGTCTATATCCTCTTCGCATTTTATACAAATGGATTTTGTTGGTGTTCCAGACAGATCTTGCACCTTGGTCATCTAGTGTCCAAGTGACAGTGTGGGCTGCAAGTTTCCCAACAGTAAAATGTTAGGCAGTAGGGGCACTTGACCGGCCCACATGAGGTGATGACAGCATGGAGATAGGACAGGGCCAATAAATATGCCTGTCGCTTATACCGTTATCTGATGGTTGTATGATGTGACTTCTAATTGGTAATGACCCCAGCATGTGTAGCCCCAATGCAGATGTTCTTAGTCTAGTATTCCAGTTGCGCCTGAGAATGATTTCTCAACACCATATGCGTTAAGGTTGTGTTATAATGCGGACTTGTCTTGTGTTATAATGCGGACTTGTCTTGTGTTATAATGCGGACTTGTCTCCCTTGGCCTCCCTGGCCTTGTCTATTTCTGTACCGACTTGTTGATGGGACGTTTGTAGTCCAATTCATACCTCAAATTTGACACTTCAAATTTGGGCGCCTTACTGTTTCCAAATTTTAAAATACTGGAATCCCAGATGTAACACTGGCAGCAAATGGAACATACTTAGGCTTCACTGGAATACGTTTCCCTTTCACCCTCTTGAACTCTACTGCCACTTCTCGACATGTCCACTTCGAAGGCTGTTGGCCATCACAGCCATACTGAAACGCCTACTTACGCTTTATTTAGCCTTCACGTTTCACAATGTGATGTCATTTGTAGCAAGTATAGTTAGATGTGGGGCTCAAGATGTGTTGCATTTTAGTGGAGTTTTTACCTTCAATTAACCATGCTTCTAAATTCTCTCAGACTTTCTCTCTGGAAACAGTTTCCCCTCTGAAAATTCCTTGTTTGTTAATGTCATTGTTTAATTTAATGTACAAAACGACAGTGTGGGTTTTGATTCCCAATACGCAGATATTTAAATGTCAACTGTAATTGCCAAACCATATACTAAATGACCTCTGTTGTTGGCCAAAATAGCTGGCAAAATAGTTTATTTTCGGATTTTACTGAAACCAGAGACCATATAATATTATATGGTCTCTGCTGAAACTAAATACACTGGACAAGCTTGATGTTAAGGATATAATGGATAGTGGGGATAGAAAAATTGTTTGGCTCCTCCTTTTTTAATAATAATAATAAAGTTAATGTGTTTATGGCACTGTTCCAATAAATTGCTCAGATGCAAAATCACTGTCAAAAATGAGGGTTTTCAGCTTTCATTTGAATTGGTTGCATATTCCCTGGATGCTGTTTTGGAGATTGTTCCTGCTTGGAAAAATTATCTGTCACCTTAGGCTGGGAAAGAAATCTTTCAAAATTTCCCACTAGACCAGTGAGTGGACAACCATTACTGGTCATGTCTGAACTTCACTGGTCCAAAATAACATTTGTAGATTTACTTAACTATGTATACAAAATTCACTGGAAACCAGGACCACTTATCATTTAGTGGTCCTAATGAATTTTTACTACCCAGGGACCAAAGGACCACCATAAATTTTGCACACTGCATAGGCCTTTGAACATATATCCTGTCTGAAACAAAAATCTCAGGATCTCTTGGTTGATCTATGACAAAAGAGAGAGTGAGGGAATTTAGTTTTATGCCGCTTTTAGCAATTTTCCAGCAATATCAGGGTGGGGTACAGCAGAAATGAGCTTCACACATTGGGTTCGTGTGGGGAATCAAACCCGGGTCTTCAGTGCGATGAGCAAATGCCTTAACCACAAGGCTACTCCACTGCCCCCCAATGACAAAAGAAGATGCTGCTACACACACAATTCAGTAACAACTAACACAATAAAAGGTCCACTCTTTTATTCTCATTGGTCCTGTGTTGATCTGGTTTTGAATTTTGTGACCAATATTTTAAAATTCACTTATTACAATCACCCATCACTGTAAGCACAGTCTTTCGTCAGCCTATGTGGACTCCAGGTTACAACTGTCACTACCAGAGGCTATGGAAAATTAGTCCTTTTGTTTTATTTCCAAGATTTCCAGCCACATTATTCATATGAAAACTTTTGTAAAGTTTCAAATTTGAAACAAATACAACAAGATGGGCTTGTTAGCAGCAACATGTTCATCAACTGATTGTCTATATCCTGCTGCTTCTGACTTAAGATGGGGCTTGCCATGGTGGAGACACAGTCCTCATTTACAGACTTACAGGAACTGTCATATTCCGAAACTTCTCCAACAACCCTGCCATGTTTACAGTCCAAACATGACTGTACTTGATATCACACTAGCATTTCAATCATTTGCTGTAAAACATCTCAATCATTTCTACAACACAACAACATTACATATACACACAACAGTGTATTCATACAAATTTGATTATTTAAGAAAAAGCAGTTGCTACAAACTATTTGTACTACTACCACATTATCTTCAAACATTGTATTATTATTGAGATATTGTAAATATGCTATTTCCCTAACATACTTCACTTAGATAGCTCTAAACTTCAGAAAGAGTGTCATATAAAATTTGCTGAAATAGTAAAAAGGTACCAAATTTTGTTTTCAGATTGCACAAGTTTGTTACGAAACACGCCTGGTTTGAAATTTCTTCTCATTCAAACTTTTTCAAGCAGGTCTCATCGCCGATCTGGCAAATAGAATTATATTACTACAGACAAATTCTCACATTTCCTGTACTTCACACAATATATATGAAAACAAGCAGCTCCAGCTATGTCTTCCCTGTTCCAAATATTCTGGCTGTAAGACTGAGGTTTCTTGTGTTCAGGTCACTAACAGTCCGCTCGAGTTCACGTATCTTGGTACCTTGCATTTCTGTTTCCAGACCTAAATATTGTATTTTTTTCTCTAATGACAGAAGTTTTTTGTCTCTCTCTCTCCTCCTTGATCTCCTCCTTTGTAGCAGACCTGTTGTATTCATACATCAACGTACCCACAGCGATGGAGAAGATGATGAACTCTCCTAACATCTCGGCACCGAGCTCTGTTGCCATCTCGTCACTTAGCTTGTCCACGTGCTTGGCTCGACCAAGTCCCATGAGGTTGAGGCGGAAGTTGACCTCAAACCAGTGGTAAACTGACAACAGAGGACAAAGTGGATTAGAGGTTGATCTTACACTAGTGGAACCCTGACTGAAGACAATTTGGATATGGATACATGTTATCATTCTTGTTTGTTTCGGGAATGGTTAATATCTTGCATTAGTAAGAATCTTTCTGTTTGCTCTCTATGTTTATTCCTACCACAGGATAATTATTGTCACAAAACACACAAGCATGATAACCTCATCATATTTTGTACTTCATACATTATATTATCTAAAAATGTATCTTTATCTCTCGTAAATGGTTTTCTGGAATATATTATATAATGTCACAAGGTCAGTGATAAGGGAATCAGGCAGCAACAACAAGCAATACAGAAACTTGTCTTTTAGACATAGAAATAACAAAGATAGAAGTAAAAGACAGTTGTCTACACATTTATTGTTTTTCATTGATACTCTTGCAATCTTGACTGCTAGAGAAGTTTCCGGTTATCGAACACCATGGATGCCATGACACCATGGACACCGTCACAGCCACGCATGGAAAAGGATGTTGACACTGAAGTAAGCGATATAGCATGATCGAGAACCCTGGGTTTGATGTTCAAGTATGTCACTTACTTTATTAATATTGTAAGGGACCGTTCATAATATATACATGGCTAGGGGGTGGGTGGGGGATGATGACTTTTAAGGAGAAGCATGAACAATGTGAATGCCCCACCAGCCCTAAAATTTATGTACAAAGTAAGTCAACCAACCCTGCACGTCATGTACAATATCAATGACTACCCCCTCCTTCCAATAATTTTGAAGCATAATTTTTAATATCAATATGTACAAAATTGCTGACACTGGTACATGTGTACAAAATTGATTAACACACACACACACACCACATCACCCCCCACACCACACCACACACACACACACACACACCAAGCCATAAATTATTAACAGTCCCTAACATCATTTTTAAGTTATTCTTGTGATGTCATGGTTTGGTACACCTGAAATGGGATCAACAAACTGTGCTCATGTAGGGAATCAAACCCAGGGCCTCCTTTCACAAAACACTAATATGATCGTAAGTCAATAAGGTAACCATTACTGGCTAGCGACCAGTTATCGACGCGTACCAGCTATCGCCAACACCTGGCTGTAGCGCTTGAGCAGACAGCTTGATTTTAACTGTCGTAGCCTATCGCTTTTGTGAAGTGTCAATGTGTGAAATACTATGGAAGTACAAGTCAAGCTGTCTGTGCAAGCACTACAGCCAGGTGTTGGCAATAGCTGGTACGCGGTGATAACTGGTCGCTAACCAGTAGTGCAATGTTAAAGAATGAGAGTTAAGGTTAACCTTAGCAAAGGTTGCTTCGTGAAAGGCCCATAACAAGCAAACACTTCAACTCCAAGGCCCACACACACCCTGTTATTACATCACCCCAAGGCTACTTAAAATGTACATCAATCATACAATGACATAATTTGGTTTCACTTGCTTTAAGAAGTAATTCAAAGATAAGCCCGTTTCACACTCATAAAATTTACGGCTGCTGCTGGAAGCCCTAATCATGTGTCGGATTGAAACAACAGATGAGTTGCGTCATATATTACGCGTTGTCTTGGGGTATCGACCAAGGAAACCTCGCCACTATATCATATGGCCTTATTCTGGATATTATTACGACTAATAATACATGTCATATGGTCAGATCTACAACCTACTCAACAATCTGACACAACAGGATAGAATCTATAGCTGTCAGGACCCGCTAAGGTCATGATCGTGAACACATTTAGTACGTACTCTGGGCTGGTGGCATGCATACATATTTCTTAAAAAACGGACTGCTTTTCGCTCTCCTCTTCATGGCGTTAGCGACAGGCTTGCTGGCCTGTTTGATTACAAGAGATCCGAGTTTTACCAAAGGGAAGGCACCAGCAACCATTCTGAGACTGAAAATGACCTAAAAGTGTATGTTTGTCATTTAGAGTTACCTCCCCAGGCATTAGACTGAGTTCCTGGCTTGTGGCGCATAGCAACAGTGAACCCAGTTTACCCCAGAAAAAAACAAAACAAGCTCCCTACTCTGATAACCCCTGCATGGAGTTCTCATATCTAAAATTTAGCATCAGTTACATCATTTGCTTCAGCAAGAATGGTATCCATACGATTACGATATTGCGATTATGTATAACTATTACCCATAAGGGTAGAATTATTGCGTGAAATAATGATTATACCCCTCCCGGGTTTTGGATCTAATAATTCTCAATGGTGATTGGTTATTTGAAACCTTAAGACGCCATGTGCAGTGATTCACTGGTGAGAATATATGTCGTCATTGTTCATGTCGTAACAAATTGATTACATTACGTAAGTGAAGTTTCTTTGCAGGGTTGACATTTCCTGCAGTTTTCATAAAACAGTTTTTCCCTTCCAATGTCAGTGAGTAGTTTGCGAATTACTAACGCTTAGCTTTCCAGAAGGGCCCATTTATGGTGTCCCCCGCCGTGATACTGCTGGAATACATGTATTTAAATATTGCTAAAAGCGGCGTAAAACCAACTCGATCACTCACTCACTTTCCAGAAGGAACGATAAACGACAATTTCTTATTCTCCTAACTACCCATAATAAAATTTATTGGCAACATTTCAAGTCTGTACTGGGGCGGTGGGGTTGCCTAGTGGTTAAAACGTTGGCTCGTCACGCCGAAGACCCGGGTTCGATTCCCCACATGGGCATAATGTGTGAAACCCATTTCTGGTGTCCCCCGCCATGATATTGCTGGAATATTGCTAAAAGCGGCGTAAAACTAAACTCAGTCAATGCAAGTCAGGAACTTAGTACGTCACCTCGCGGACGCGAGGATGTCAGTTTATAGTGAGTGAGTGAGTGAGTTTAGTTTTACGCCGCTTTTAGCAATATTCCAGCAATATCACGGCGGTGGACACCAGAAATGGGCTTCACATATTGTACCCATGTAGGGAATCGAACCCGGGTCTTCGGCGTGACGAGCGAACGCTTTAACCACTAGGCTACCCCACCGCCCCAGTCAGTTTATAAGTGACGTTACAGTGGCTCATAAACATTTGAAAGTTATCGAACATAATCAAGTTGATGACAAACATGCATAACGCCTTTGGATGATGTGGAATATTTATCAAGTCGCAGTTATTTATTCGGAGTCAGAACCCAGAGTTATTCCATGTGAGCATGTGGATGATAGAATGAAAGAACGAACGAACAAATGAAAAGTAGTGCCAACGAAGCTGACATTACCAAGAGAATTTAAATATATAAAAGACTCTTTCTCCGCCCTACCTTCTAGGTTAGTGTTTATGAGTATAAACTGTATGGTTGCCTTACTTAATCATAGGGGGTTGTAACCCAATTGATGTGGGTACGACAAGTAAGAACAACATGGAAAAGGGACTGATAATATATTATAGAAGACCTGGGAGAGATTGGTACTGGAACTGCATTACATTTTTTGTTTTTGTTAGAGAGGTTAAGATAATTTTTTATTGCCCGTGAGGGAATGTGTCTTACATCTGAGTGAGCATAATACATTGTATCAAATAAATACATATAAACATATCATAATTACGTACAAATGTACAAAAACATGAGAATGGAAAACATTAACGGCTGTTCAACAAAGTAATTGACATGTTCTTTGGTAGGTAACTCGTCGTATCATCCTTACATTTTTTACATCACAGTCAATAATGATGTTTGTGTCAGTCGCGGCAAGTATTCATTGTGCAAGACACAAGCAGTAATACTGAAAACAATACTTTTGAGACGACCCTTTTCTATCAAATTCTCCCCAACTTATGGGGTTCAGAAATTACATATTTTCACCTTGGTTGAAAATATGTAACACAAAAGTTATGTAGCAACGTTTTAAAAGATATTTTCGACACTATCAGGCTTTTAGTGCCTTGTCACAGCGTCGGCCTAACGTTAGACTAGATACATTGCAGGGGCGGATCTAGAGGGGGGTGTATAGGGGTGCGACCCCCCCCCCACACACACACACACCACCCCTTGTTCCTCGAAATTTATTTCTCAGAGGAGCATTCCCCCCTAAGGGACCGTTCATAATTTATGGCTGGAAGTTGGGTGTGTGATTTTAAGGGGAGTCACCCATTTTGTTCTTGGGGGGAGGTAGGGGGTCAGCAATTTTGTACATAAAAATATTTTTAAAATATGGAAAGGGGAGGTGGGGTCATCGACTTTGTACATGACATGCAGGGGGAGGTCACTTTCTTTGTACATACACACACACACACACACATCCCCTAGCCATAAATTATGAACGGTCCCTAACCTTTGTACTTTAATGATTTAGGTGCACACCCCCTCTATGGTCTCATATTGTGTTGTCTAGGAATGAATGTGCAAGACGACCATGATGGTCAGGTCAGCACGTCATGTTGATGACTCAATTCATACGCCTCGGTAATACACGTGAAACGCTTTCAAGATGACAGGGGCTTGTCAAGCCAAAACGAACTATCCGTTATATTGCTAAATTTATGTATATAAGTTTTTTTAATTGTTCAGATTATACACTGGATATTAATTACATGTGTGGATTTATATTTTGTATGTGTAGAAGTGTATCGGTGTAGGTATATTAAGAGTGGGTGAGTGAGTTAGTTTAGTTTTAGGCCGCTTTTAGCAATATTCAGGCAATATCACGGCGGGGGACACCAGAAATGGGCTTCACACATTGTACCAATGTGGGGAATCGAATCCGGGCCTTAACGCTTTAACCACTAGGCTACCCCACCTCCCCAGGTATATGAAGAAGTGATGCACATACAGGCAAGAATTAATGGATGCCAACTTCTTCTTTGTTTGTTTGTTGTTTAAGGCCGCACTCAGTAATATTTCAGCTATATGGCGGTGGTCTGTAAATCATCGAAGCTGGACCGGCCAACCCAGTGATCAACAGCATGAGCATAGATCTACGCAGTTGGGATGCGATGTGTCAGCGAATCTAACCACCCGTTATAGTGGCCGCTTACGAAAAGCATGGGTTGGTGAAGGTCAGTTCTAACCCGGAGGGGCGGTGGGGTAGCCTAATGGTTAAAGCGTTGGCTCGTCACGCCGAAGACCCGGGTTCGAATCCCCACATGGGCACAATGTGTGAAGCCCATTTCTGGTGTCTCCCGCCGTGATGTTGCTGGAATATTGCTAAAAGCGGCGTAAAACCAAACTCAGTCAGTCAGTCAGTCTAACCCGGATCTTCACGGGTGTATATATTTGTACTCATATAGGGAACAGCCACTCACTCACTCACTCACTCTGATGGGGTACATACACTAAACGCCAAAAGAAACGTTACCCTCCTTCCTTTATGAAGGAGGTACCTATCTTCAGCTGTGATGCGTGGACGTCCACTTCTTGGTCTGTCTACGGTGATCCCAGTCTGTCTGAAGCCCTGAAGAAGTCTTATATCCGTGATACAGTGGCATCCGAGGGGGATGGCAACAGCATTTGTATGTCGATCCCATCTGCACCATCCCAGTGGCTCTTTGTCTCTCTTCAGCCGTTAATCGTGGCATATTTCTCGGACTTGTGTATCAGATCATGTCTTCTAGGCTCTCTTTATACCCTATAGAATCATTCTGCATGTGAAATGGATGTAAATACTGTTTGAATATTGCTGCGTTTTGGGATTGCTATTGCTATGTGTAAAATGGAAATGGAAAAATGTTACTTTGCAAGCAAAAATGCTAAAGATAATTGTAGAAGTTCCTAAACATTTTTTCACAATATCAAAGAAACGTTTTACTTGTTCTCACTAATGCAAATCAGCAGAAAATGTTTGAAAAGACTGAAATCTGTGTTGTTAAGCTTTCTTGTAAACTAAAACCTTCTAAAATATCTTTTATAGTTTTTCAGTAATTCATAAATGTAGGAGGGTAACGTTTCTTTTGGCGTCTAGTGTATTCTACTCACTCGCTCACCCACTCACTCACGCGATCACTCTGATGGAGAATTATACTGACTCACTCAACCACTCATTCCATCACTCTGATGGAGAATAGTGATCACTCACTCAACCACTCACTCCATCACTCTGATGGAGAATAGTGATCACTCACTCTGATGGAGAATTGTACTCACTCAATCTGATGACGGGCGGTGGGGATGCCCAGTGGTTAAAGCGTTCACTCGTCACGGCAAAGGTCCGGGTTCGATTCCCCACATGGGTACAATATGTGAAGCCCATTTCTGGTGTCCCCCGACGTGATATTGCTGGAATATTGCTAAAAGCGGCATAAAACCCAACTCACTCACTCACTCACTGTGATGAGGTAGTGTATTCACTCACTCCTCCATGAGACGGTAACACCACGAGATTTTCACTCGGGCTGCGTGATGCACACTTTTCTCTGCTATCTTGATCAGTCTGTCCAGTAAAGCGAAGTCACATGGAAACTTTTCCCTCGCTGTTGGATTCACAACTTTCATGTTTATCGCGTCTCACTCTCCCGACTTACGGACATAAAGACTTTAAAAACTCTGGCAATTAATTTTGAGCAGCACGTTGAAAACAGTAATACGCTCCTTTCACTCTTCACATATGCTTTTAAATTTAAGTTTGTTTCATGTCTCGAAATAACTTTACTTTGGAAATCACGCTGGTAGAATCCATGCCAATATTCTCCCGGTTGGGGAAATGTATCGATTGGGCACTTCTCAAGCGTGTTACCTCCCTTTAACCACTATCCGACGGATCATCAGCGGATGTGTCTTTGATATTCAAAATAGGTAAAACCTTGCCTGCTAAACAGACAGTATTTTTGAAAACCCATCAGCTAATGAGACTGAAAAAAATCGTTATCACCGACAGTGAATTCACGTGAGTTTAAAGTTTCTCCGCTGTTGTTATAGAAACGCAATTCTTCGCCAGAGCTGCTCGAAGAATATATTGACAGATACATGAATATTTATGACTATCGATTGCAATGGCGGATGTGCTTGTTTGGTCTGTTTA